TGGAAGCATCTCGTCAAAATAGATATAGGCAAAGGGCACCCCATGGTCCAAATCCAAGCAATAGTCCCGATGAAGATAATCCAGTAGACCCTTAGTGCAACACAAGCCGGTGCTGCTGTAACTCAAGCGCACCATGCCGCGCGGACCATGCTAGTAATGTTGCCATCCAATCCCAACTAGAAGCCCTTCAAGCTAGACATGTCATCGCACAGCAGCAATCCGACTTTGGTCAGGTCGCTGCAGAAATGCGAGACACTGCAGCAAGAGCCATCCTGCACAACCAGGAGGAAGCTCAAGCCGCTCTGGCTGAGAGGGACAGGGGTTCGGAGTTGTTTGAGCATAACCTCTCTCAACAAGCCCAACAATTAATTTTGGGGCTAGGCAGCAGGCTCAGCAGGAAGTCTTAGCTGATCAAGCGGTTTTGCAACGGGAAGCTCAGCAATTTGTGGAATCTAATGTTAGACCACTTCAACATCAAATCAATTTGGGTAACCAGCAATTGGCCGTTCGGGAAGTTGAGATAACCGAAAGGGATACTAGAATTGCTCTTTTAGAGCAACAGCTATATAGCTGAGGCCAGGCGGCAACAAAATCTTGCAGTAGCATCCCCGGTTCCAGCTACCCCCAATTCAGCAGTTTCTAACCTTATGGACTTACTTGCGGATCCTCCCCAAGAAAATATGGGTCAAAGGGTAGTTTCTGATGAACAAAATACGGATGCCTTTAATTTGTTTGAGGGCCACAATCCATCTCCAGTGCAGACACTAGATGTTCGTGCTAGGCCTTTTGGTTCCCCACAAAATACTTCAGCTCCCCTGCAAGAGGTTGCAAATATGGTTGTAGAGGCAACTACTTGGGCCACCCCCAGGGTTTCTGTTGGCCAATCATCCCATGAAGTAGCACCAAATGTTGTTACGTCTATGCCTCAATCTTTTCACCCTCCGGGTCTTGCACCCGTGCCTATTGTGGCGAGCCCCCAACCTGCGGAGTTGGCTGTTGCCAATTTGCCCATGCCAACAAATGTCATGGTGCCTAATGCTAATGTTGCAAGTGGTTCGAACCCGACAGAGTCAGCTTTAGTCCAACAACTCTTAGCTGAAGTGAGTAGATTGACCAATGCATTGCAATCGCAACAACAGCAACTTCAACAGATGAAACAACAACAACAACAACAACAACATCAACTTACAGCCCATGCACCCCTGCCGATAGCACCACCATGCACGCCCCCAAAGGGCGCTGCTGCTAGCGCGCCGGGCATTCGCTCAGCCAATGCTAGTGCTGCGGGCACTCCCTGTGCAAACTCTCGTTTTGGGTCCATAGGTCGTGCACCACCACCGCAACAGGTGTTACCGCCGGGGTTGCCGCCACTTCCGTTGGCGCAACAGGGTTTAGTTGCTGACAATACCACATCTTATCACCATATTGGTTCTGCTAATAGGTCAATTGATTCTGGTAGCTCAGAGTCCTCCTCGGATTCTGGTGAGTTCCACTCGGTGCCTGCCCCATTAGTCCTTACTGAATGTAGGATTTGTGGTGAGCTTCATGAAGAAGTTGAATGCCCGCACCTTACCATGAACCAACCCTATTCAGCTCCACAGCCACCTGCTGTCAACTATGCGGATGATGAGGAAGAAACTATTAGGGTTAGATCCTTAGTTGATATGGTTTTTCCGAATCCCCCAGAGAACGCAGGTCAAGCTCGTGGTTATGTCAATCAGGTGTTGATGTCAATAGGCAAACTCCAAAAGACCCCCGGCAATGAAGTTTACCAATGGGCCCAAGGCGGCCCAAGAGTGCCTAACCGCTGATGAAGCTGTTCCTCAAGCCGACCCTCGGTACCCCTGCACCGATCGAGAGATCGCTTCTAGGCTTGTAAAGACTTGCAAGCGCGGTAGGTTAGATTACCAAGAGTATCGCACTAGAGGTGGGAATTCAGCCGTTGATGTCCCAGAAGCAGAAATCTTTGTCCCTGAAGTTTTTCCGGTAAGTTTTTCACGCCACCAAGCTCTCATCAGGGGGGATAACCCAGATGATCTTAAGTTGCCTGAATATGCCTTAAAGGATGTGCCCCTCCCCAAGCAGGCGGAATAGCCTCACCCTCTACACCAGGTCTCAAAAGTCGTTCAGTTTATAGAACTGTAGACTCTACTGTAGACCGTATCCTTAAGTGGAAAGAGACACCCGGTTGCAAAGGCTGCACTGTCCATTCGCGTGCGCACACAGAAGAGTGCAGAGCCCGCTTCTCAATGTTGGTAGAAAAAGAGAAAGAAGCTGAAAGGGAAAAGAGAGCTCCACTTGCAAGTGAAACTGAAGCAGAAGACAAGGATCATGAAGCCCATGGTTTTATCTTCCGTGGTGAGGAAATATCTGACCCTATACCATCGCACCTCTCCCCAGAGGATAAAGAACTTTTCAAAGAAATTTTCCTAAGTGATGATGTACCAGGTTCAGCCGAACCCAGCTGCTACTGTTTCCGGTGTAGCTATCCTCCCCCAAGCTGCCACTAGATGTTCCGACCTATGTCAAGAGTCGCTGCCCGTTTTTGGTTGTCCTGCCGTAGGTAAGCCAACTAAGGGCGACAATCGCAGAAGCCGGAGAGCTGCCAAGAAAGCTTCCAAACCCAATGCCAAGTCAACCATGTTTGAGTTTGTTTGTTCTGATAATTCCCAGATGGGTTTTACTCATGATGAGTATAGTATCAATCATGTTAGACTTTGTAAGGATAGGATTGACTTGGGTGATGAGTCGCAATGTGAGCAACTAGAAAATCAGATCGATGAAGCTGCTGAAGTTGCTCCACCACACATGTGGGCTTCCATCCCTTGCACGTCCGGATCCCCTTGGCAGTACATCAATAGGAAGAAGGGTGGTGCCGCCTTCATTAGGAAGCTGGCGCATCAAGTCAAAGAGTCAAAACGGTTGTTTTCTAGTTTCACCAAAAGAGCTGAGCGTGTTCTCAATCATAATGGTACTGTAACGTTTGAATGGCCAAGACCCTGTAGTGGATGGAAAAGGCCAGACGTTGTAGCATTTTTTGAGAAGCATCCTCAGTTTATGTGTGGAGATTTCGAGGGATGCGCGGTAGGTCTCACCACTAGAGATGGCCTTCCTTTGAAGAAACCGTGGCGGCTCATGACCACATCCCAACGCATCAAAGATGTCTTCCAGGATAAGCGTTGCAAGTGCCAGCAAACTCACGCAAGATGTGAGGGAGCGAAAGCCCTTTGGTTAGGTAGACTTGCACGTCCCGACATCATCAAGCCTATCAATGATCTGGCCACAAAGGTCCAGTCGTGGTCCAGGGGGAATGATAAGAAGGTCCTTAGACTGATCCAGTACATAGCCTCAACCCCACACTACAGGTTAGTAGGTACTATTCAGGACAAACATGAAGACCTAGAGCTTAGACTATTCGTCGATGCCGACTTCGCCGGCGACAAGTCAACAGCACGCTCAACCTCTGGTGGCTTTCTGGCTTTATCTGGCCCTAGTTCCTTCTTCCCGCTTGCGTGGATTAGCAAGCGTCAGACATCCACTTCTAGATCGACCACGGAGAGTGAGGTAGTGAGTTTGGCTCATTCGCTCTATCAAGAAGGCTTGCCTGTTTTGCAGTATGGGAGCTTTTGCTTGCACGCTCCGTAACCCTAAGAGTCCACGAAGACAATCAAGCAACAATCCTAGTTGTGAAGAAAGGATATAGTCCCAAGCTTCGCCATATAACTAGAACGCATGAAGTAAATCTGTCTTGCCTGTCTGAAATCTTCAAAGATGACTCTGCACCGATAGAGTACATCAACACCGATGAACAGGCGGCAGACATATTCACCAAGGCATTGCCTCCACACAAATGGGCAGCAGCACTAATCCTTTTAGGAATCCGTACTGACCTTCCCTTAGACCTTAAATCCAATGCATAGGTCGCAGTGAGCATCCGCTCTCGCGACAGTAGATGCGTAGGTGCCTGCCAATGCGCAGTGCGTGTGGAACAGGCGGGGGGGGAATTGAAATATATCGACCCCTGAGCCCCACCATGTAAAGAGGGTAGCCATAATTAGAGGCCGGTACTTCCCTAACCTTAACAACTACTTAGGTTAGGGTATAGTACGCTGTCGATGTTGTGGCTCAAGTGCACAAAAGAGCTGTCCGCTTGGATGTTTTGTTTGCGGATTGGTTGTTCCTCTATTTTTGGGTGCCCGGCTCATTCGACCCCCTGTTTCACTAAGTTGGGCCCAAATTGGAGCCAACTGGCCTGAGTTCGGCCCAAGTTATGCCTAAGTTGGGCCCAAATCGGCTTATGTTTGGCCCAATTTCAAGCCAAGGACGGCCAAATTTGACCCCAGTCGTGTAGTGTTCTTCGCCCCGCATCCCGGAGTACCATACTCCTGAACTTCGAAAAGTCGCCCTTGAACTGCACAATTTCCGTATCAATGTGGGTGCAAGCGGTGCTCGCCGCGAAAGGACCCGAATCACACCACATGATTTTCAGGAAACATAATCTTCCAAGCAAAAAGTTAGCGACAATGGTCCTAGTTGTATTCCAGACCTTGCTTCGATGTATCATCCCCTTTTCATTGACGTGCAGGCAGTGCCGCTCGACTGGTGACGTGTGAAGCAAGTTGGCCCAAATTCAAACCGTCATGCCTTTTTTCTTTGTGCAGATTTGACCCAATGCCGACGAACAGTGGGGACTTATAGAGAGCAACCAAAAGTTATCATTGCACAACCCCACAAACATCAAGTTGCACCAGGTTTTTTTTGCAGAATATATGCTCTTGAACCATTTCCAGCACATGGCAATAATTATCATTAATTATCCAACGCGAACAACATGATGGGGTTTGAAACCAGTTGGGTCACATAACCAATTGTGGTGCAATATTAGAGTACAAACCATGGTTTGATTGTGGCAATCCTTTTTTCAGCATGTATAGGCGGCATGGACAATTGAGTGCTCTTTTCACAAACGCATCCAATACTAAAAAACATGTTTTATTCGCAGACGCATTTCTGGTTCAAATTGTGTACCTAGGACCGGGTAGTTGAAACCAAGGCCGGGCATTTTTTTTGCTGATCATTTGTACTGTTGGTTGGTATTACTGCATGCATCGTCCAGTCATTGTCCGGGTGGTGGGCAATTGCTGAGCTAGGATGCCTGGGCCATACGGCAGCCAGCGGCTTAGACAAAACAATTTTGCAACACTTGAATTGCACAGAGACAGGCTGGCATTGAAAAGGACAAAAAGGATTGAAGGACGTTTTTGGATTTCAAGCATGGGAATGTCCAAGTTATGTGTGAACGTTCTTTTTTGGGCCAAAAAAATATTGATATCAACATAAACATGCAAACATATGCAAAAATGAAATGTACGATTGTGTTGCAAAGTATTTGTTATTTCAAAACCATTTTTTCTTCTCACACACTTGTGAATGGCTTGGGCATTCGTTCCATTGCAAGGCATGACAATGACAATGGGGTAACGCCTGCGATGGTTTGCAAATCCAAGGGTGCTCTTTGCATTTGCATTTCCAGTCCGTTGTGTCGATTCCCCTTTTTCCTCCCCCAAATATATTTTATTTTTGTCCTTCTTTTCCTGCTTTTGATTGGACACTATGAACAAATTGCAACTGCAACTATTGGGATTTGTTTCACAATGGGTGATACCACAAAATTGTGTTTTTCATGAATTATGATAAACCATGGGATATTTTGAGGTTATCATTTTTTTAAAATGTTGAAACCCCAATGGATTTTGGGTTTATATAACAACCCTGTGTTTTTCAGCCGGGAATCATCCTGGCCAGGCGAGGAATGAACGGCGGCTCAGCGTCGGGCGGTGTAGCTGCGTCGGAATCCCAGAATGAGGAGTTGCCAAAACCATTGTGTTGTGGTTATTAGTGAACATTGCATGGGATTTTTCAGTGGATTTTTCTAACCATCAATGGATATTTCACCAACAAAATATCAGTTTGGCCGCTAAAATCCAATCAGCAACCTTTTTCATAGTATGGTTTCGAAGACTCCCCACATGCTAAAATTGAATTTTGGCGGTTCAATGTGTTTTTCTTCATATGTTCGGTGCCTCCTCCACAGGTTTCATGGATCCATGACAACTTCTAAGGCCTACTTACAGTGGCATGTTTGGAGCGAGATTCAGCTCCAAGCTCACACCCCAAGAGAAGGTGGGACAGCCAAATTGTTGGACAGCAGATTTGATCTTTCACGCATTGTGCATTCTTTCTGCGTAGAACATTGTTCAGTAAACATTCATTGGTCATTCGATCATTAAATAATTTACTGTATAAGACAACATTTCTAATTGGAGGTTTGCTAAAATGGGGGTACCCCCAAATCATCCAAGTCATGGATGACCATGACTTAGGATGACTTAGGATTCAACGCCATGGTGACCGGGGATCCCTGACTTAAGAACCCCGTGAATCTCTAAGACTGGCAGGAGATCATAGATGTTGCCTTTGAGTCCTTTAAGGATGAGCGACTTGGCCATTTTTTGGACAGTTGATGAACCATGTTGTGGCTACTTGCTATGTATACGTGCCATATTGAGATGCGTTCTTAGGCAACTATTGATGTTACGTTGTTTTATGTTATGTCTTATCATGTCATGTTATCTTATGTCACGTCATGTCATGTCATGTCATGTCATGTCATGTCATGTCATGTCATCATGTATTATCTTATGTTGTGTGTATTATCTTATGTTGTGTTTTCTTATGTTATAATTAGCATAGTATACTATGGTACACTATTGTATACTATTATTATACTATACTACACTATACCAAACTACACCATTCAATACTATGACTATATCATATTACAATATACTATACTATACTATACTAGACTAGACTAGACTAGACTAGACTAGACTAGCATACATCATACGATATAACATGAATACTAATAGAAATAACAATGCCAATACTAATATTCTTGATACTAATCGAAGGAAGTTTCGAAGTCAAACTTCCGACAATATGGACAGATGAAAAGCAGAGATGGGAAGAGTAAGCGAAGAGAAGAGAAGAAGAAAGAAGATCAAAAAAGAGAAAGTCTCAGAAGAAAGAAGATCCAGGTGCGCGAAAAGGTAGGAAAGTCGCGAAACACTGTGTTTTTCCAATGATTTGTGGCTCCGGTGGGTCGAAAAGTAGGCTCGCTAAAGCGGCTGGTGCGGAGCCAGCTGGCCAGATGAGAGATGAAAAATTGCACGCCGTTGTGGCGCGAAGCACATTTCGAAGTCAAAATGTGCAAAACACACCATGTTCGGACCACTTTTGGAAGTTGCGATGTCGAAAAAGTGCACACCGGTGTGGCGCGAAGCATATTTCGAAGTCAAAATGTACAAAGCACACCAGGTCTGGACCACTTTTGGAAGTTGCGATGTCGAAAAAGTGCACGCCGTTGTGGCGCGAAGCACGTTTCCAAGTCAAAATGTACAAAGCACACCAACTCCGGACCACTTTTGGAAGTTGAGATGAAGCACATTTCGAAGTCAAAATGTACAAAGCACCAAATGTTCGCCGCCCCACTTTTGGAGGTTCAGATGTGCTTTCGCGTGGCAGGCGCAAGGGATTGTGCACCTTCTCAAAAGTGAGCAGAACGTGAGGGCTTTGTAGCGTGTCCAAAAACAATGGCAGGCGTGGGACATTTGAAGAGGATCTGCAAAGATGCATTTTCCCTGGCAGGCGCACTACAAGAGACATCTTCATCAGAGGTGTTAGGAGGTCCGGGCGGTGATTTCCTGAGAGGGGTTGCATTTTGGAGCATCAGATCTTCAGGTTTGCTGAGATGATTTTGCGTGACAGGTGCAGCACTTCGTATGACCTGGCATCACTTTTTCGTGGTAGGCGCAGTAGTTTAGGCAGATGGACTGGAAAAATCGCAAAACGCATTGGTACGAGGCCGTCAGCTCTGCACGCAACTTTCCATTTTTGAAGGAAGTCTCGCAGAATTCTTTCGTTTTTCTTGTTGTCAACTTCAAAAAATGAGGAAGCGTCGCAGAATTGCTTCGTTTTTGACGTTGTCAAGTTGAAATATTGAGGAAGTCTCGCAGAATTGCTTTGTTTTTGATGTTGTCTACTTTGAAAAATACGAAGTCTCGCGGAATTGCTTTGTTTTTGACGTTGTTAAGTTGAAATATTGAGGAAGTCTCGCAGAATTGCTTCGTTTTTGATGTTGTCAACTTTGAAAAATGAAGAAGTCTCGCAGAATCGCTATGTTTTTGACGTTGTCAAGTTCAAACATTGAGGAAGTCTCGCAGAATTGCTCCGTTTTTGATGTTGTCAAGTTCAAAACCTGAGGGCGTCTCGCAGAATAGCTTCGTTTTCAAGCTTGCAGATAGACAGGTAGATAGATAGACAGACGGACAGACAAACAGAGAGATAGATAGATAGATAGATAGGTAGATGGGAGATAGATAGACAGACAGACAGACAGAGAGATAGATAGATGGATGGATGGATGGATGGATGGATGGATGGATAGATGGATGGATGGATAGATAGATAGATAGACAGATAGATAGAGAGAGAGAGAGAGAGAGCGAGAGAGAGAGAGAGAGAGATAGATAGATAGATAGAAAGATAGAAAGATAGAAAGAAAGATAGATAGATAAACAGATAGATAGATAGACAGACAGAGAGAGAGAGAGAGATAGATAGATAGATAGATAGGTGGGTGGGAGGTGGGTGGGTAGGTAGGTAGATAGTCAGAGAAAGAGACAGACAGAGAAAGAGAAGAGACCTCAACCACGTTTCGGTCCATCAGTGGCTTCGCTCTGCCATCCGTGATTCGCAACAGCCAACCTCTCCTATAGGTTTCCAATTTTTGAAACTTCCGCCACCGCCTTGTGCGGTACTACTGGTACTTTAAATGCTAATACCTTTAATTCTGAGACTAAGACGACTAATACTAATACCAGTGCTAATGCTAATACTAATACTACTACCAATATTAATACTAATGTCAATACTAATACGAATACTCATACCAATACGAATTCTATTACTGATGTATACTGATACTGATACTAATGCTAATGCAAATACTGATGCTAATACTATGCAAACAATAGATACATATTTGTAACCAGATCCAGGTACATATGTCATAATGATATGCAAATCCACATAGACATAGGTGGACAAATACTGGTGCCTCTGCATCTGCATATAGCACACATTAACACATACATTTGAACACTTGTCAGGCCACATACAAACATACACACACACACACATATATATATATATATGGGTTTGCGTGAAAATAGAGTGCCATAAAATCACATGAAATCTAGTGGTTTATCCCCATTTTTGGAGCCCACAGACATTTTCTAGGCACGTGCACAACTTTAGCAGCTAGCAACTAGCGTTTAGCTCTGTTCGCAAGCCCCTGTGTTTTCAGGAATATCCAATCAGGATATATTCTCTCGCTGCCATGTCCCCCTCCCTTACTATTCCAACTGCGTTTTTCTTCTACTTGGACAACCTTTTGGTGACCGTTTCTGGATCATATTCCAGCTCCTGCTTGTTGTTCCGGCCAATCTTCTGGCCCTTGATATTCTGGACTTGCCCAGTTGCTTCTACACAGCCTCCGTGTTTGTTGGAACCAGTACCAATTCAACCATCTCTTACTTGGTCTTATTGGGGCACGTTTTCGGATACACATTCTGCCCCTTTGCTGCAATTTTCTGGATTTTTAAAATTCAGCTCCGAGCTGAAGACTACTTGGGAAGCTTTCCACATCAACTCCTACTTTTCACACTCGTCCCTTGCTGGAATGTACACTCCTCGTCATTCTGTACTGAAGGGTCGTGGCAATTTCCATTTATTGTTCTCTCGGGACTGAAAGCCCCGACTTTTTTTTGAAAAACAATTGTTTGTAAAAAAATGTGCTCGGTAGTTGGACTACAGGTCCTTGTTTCTTTTTAGCTCTTTCCACCTAAATATTAGGGCAACACAGAAAAGCTCGCAGGGGCCGCCGGAGGCGTGCCGGGAGACCAGGGTCTCCCCTTTGTTTTTATTTTCATCTTTTTTATGTCACTACTTTCCAAAACCAGAGACAAGTGGGTCACGAACCCTGCTGTGCGTCACTGGACCGATCCCCTCATGGATTGTTTCTCCTTTGTGATTGCTCGGTTGTTTCGGTGGTTTTAGGGTTCATCAACTCAAAAGCATCGGGTCCCGTGTTGCAGGTGCTGGTTAGTAGCTTATCCTTTAACCAACAAATTCTCCTGTTCTATTCATTTTCTCTTTTACCATTTTGTTTTTCCATTTGGCTGACGGAAACAGCTGCTGACGTGTAGTTCGACATGAAGTGCATACCGGCGTTGAAAAAAAATTGACATCTTCTGAGCCAAGGTCTGGGTACATTACCACCGAGAGGTGTGGGTTGTTTTCGAGTCCAGTCTATGTATGTGCATAGTTGTGGCGCTGAACAACTATATATAATACTACATATACATTTTCACAAACCTGGGTCGTGAGAGGATTCAATATCAGAGGCATCGGCAAAGGCAAACTCTGTTTTCATTGGACAGGCTCAAAGAAGCGTTCGAAGCCATCGATCAGCTGGGCGACATCAGCGGAGAGCTCGGAGTTCTCGGCCGTTTGAAACCCATGAAGCCATGGGGGGATAGCACCCGATTTCCGGAATTCGGGCATTTTTTGAGTTTCCAAAAATCACGGGATTTTTGAGTTTCCATGCTTGGTTGGAATGACTCGTCGAAGACAACTGGAAGACATGTCCAAATATATGGGTTATACTGGTGATATGATAGGACATGTTAGGGATATATTGGGATACACAGCATGTAAAATTGGAAGACAGCTGTGCAGTCCTACCATTTCTCCTAGGTGACATTCAGGTGTTGCTCGCCGACATCTCAGCCTCATCTTGACTCAGCAAAACTTGAGGAGTGATCCTGGTTACCTGGCTCCGAGTGGCTGAGGACAGTATTGATCAGGATGGAGATGGCAAGATTGATGAAGATGAGTCTGACCCTCAATCCTGATATATCCTGACATTGTATCAGACATGGAAAGTAGAGTGAATACTGGATGAGTTGCTCGCGTTTGCAAGGTTTCGCTACATCATGACCCGCAAATTCCTTGGAGAGGACGATGACGCCTCTTTGGTGAAAGCCTTGACATTTTGTGGTCACAGGATTCTTGCAGCTTAGATTTTGCCTCAAAGTCATTGATTATGTGTTTTTTCAAGTCTTACCGTCTTGCCTGTCTTGTTTCACTGGATCAACCTATTGAGTCTGTGTTCCGCACCAAAAGGGTGTGTATGACAAAGTTGCATCTACCCAACTTGGTTGGACCCTAACACGCATTCATTCTACATACCACAATGCAAAAGCTAAGAAAGCCCCTCACTCACCACGGTTCCAGGGCAGGAAAGCGACCCTGCAATTGCCCGATCTTTATACACTCCAGTTATGTATGGCTTGTTTGCCAGCTACCTCAATGGATGTTACAGCCCAGCCTCTCTTGATCCCTTAACCTGACCCATCTACAATCAGCACTGGGTGTGGCCTTTGTGCTGCCACAGTATCATATTACTCATGTCTTGGATCCTGATATTCACCTTGTTGACAATGTCAAAGATCTGAAAGTCAAGATGCTTCAGAGCAAACAAGCGGACTTGTGTCCTTGCTAAGGTTGTGCATAGACTTGGATAAACGTGACATTGTTTTCTATTGTACCGGTGGATCGTTGCCTCAGGTCAATGCCTTTGAGATGCTGGACATCAACAAGGCACCAATATTAAGCATCAATCCAATACACATGGATCGGAGCTTCTGGGGGTGGCTATTTGCATAGGTGGAAGGGATTACTTTACTTAGAAAAGGGTGAACCTAGACTTGGCCCAGCTGAGTTTGTGGAAAGGCTAGGCCCCTAGGCTTGTTGTTCTCTTTCTGTCCGTGCTGTTGATGCTGTTGCGGCCGAGAACAGTTCCGTGGTGCTGCTATGGTGCTGCAGGATGGATACATTCCTGTGGCGGAACTTCGAACAGTCCTAATGAAAGAAGGTCCTGCCCTTGGATCTTTAGCGCTGCCTGGACACATTTGGACACTATGCGGTATCCAGAGATGGGGATGGTTCACATTCACTGAACCCTTTGAAGGGATCTTTTGACAAAAATGATCAACCAGTAGGTCAATTGTATGCTGTCTGGCTTGAGGTAACCAGCCACTGAGCGAACAAGAAGTCGATGAGCTCATGATGTTTGCTGATATTGTGAGGACCTCAGGTTCTACCTGGGTGGGACCTGGTTGGCGACCTGGTTGGATGTGGGAAAGCCTATCTCAACAGTTCCAAGGAAGGCGATGGCCTCATTGAGTACAAGAGCTTTCTGCGGTGGCTCAGCAACCCTGATGCTGTACAATAACGAGGTGCGTGGCCATGGGGATGTGACAGATGTTGTGCAATATCTCATACAGAAATATCCTCAGCTACTCTATCCCAAATCGCTCCAAAACGCTGTCCAAGGCTTCCAGATATTTCCAGATACTGCGCCTATTTCTTGACGGAAACTGACTTCTCAAACTCTCAAAGGCATTCCTGGCATGCATAGCGGATCACAAGTCAGAACTCCTTTGAAACCGCGAGCACCATCCCCACATCGCCAGGCTCCAGTAGCACCCGTATCACCCAGCCGTGCTGAGATGTTTTTGCGCTCGTCAAAGTGCTGAGCGTGGAACCTCATCAGCGACAGCAAGGTTTCGGATGGTTGGACCAGAAATTGCCAAATTGTTTAAGAAGAATGGCGCAGATCTACAGAACCCTCCTACCAAGTGACTGACAGATGTAGTTTCTTAGATTATCTCAGAGATTCACTGGTAATGTCCTGGTGTGGTGACATTGCCAGGTAAGTCCTTAACAGGCTGTGACCTTGCTGCTGAAGCCAAATGGAACAAAAACAAAGGGCCACACTCTGCAAGAGGCAGAGCATGAACTCAGCTGTACTGTGGCCCGCTGAGGGCCTGGTGGCCGGCTTGGCCTTGTGTTTTGTTTGGGCTTAAAAAATTGGTACATAACTATCATTAAATTGCAAACAATAGAACTTGAATATTTTGCTCTGAGACAGCAAAGTCGCAGACGCAGCCCTGGCCTTCTGATGCTTCTCTTCGAACAGGTAATCTGTGGACTATTTGAAGCCATTTTTCATAGCGTTTTTGCTGTTCTTTGCCACCCTTTCAAAGGAGAAAGCATGTGGATTCTATTAGATTCAGTTTGCATTCTCACAGAAGTTGATAAGAAGACATGGGAGGATTGAGGCAAGCTTTGGTGCAAAGTGGTTAAATGATAATCACGAAAGCTAGCGGTAGCTAGCTGGAGTTGGCTTTTGCTTTAGCAAAGACTTCGGGGGTCTGGGGGCAGGTCAGCCACTGCTTGTGCGAAGTTTCACTTAAGCACCCCCCGCCTCCCCGCCCTCCCCCCTCTGGGATCGATTTCGCATGATCTCTACATGACTTTTCATTACGTCATTATGTCGAATCATCTCGTCTCCTATCATCTCAATCGATCTTTGTTCCTTTCTATCTTCCATCGCATATTGTCTCGTCTCATTTCATCTCATCTTATCATCTCCTCCCATTGTTTCGCGTCAGGTCTCATCTCATTTTATCTCCTCTGATCTCACCTCGAGGCATCTCATCCGATCATTTCTCATCATGTCTCCCTACGTCTCATCATGTCTCATCAAGTCTCACCATGTCTCATCATGTTCTATCATGTCTCAGCACTCATCATGTCTCATCATGTCTCATCATGTCTCAGCATGCCTCACCAGGCCTCACCATGTCTCAGCATGTCTCAGCATGTCTCATCATGTCTCAATATTTTTCATCATGTCTCATCAGGTCTCATCGTGTCTCACCAGGTCTCACCATGTCTCATCATGTCTCCCCATGGCTGATTGTGTCTCATCATGTCTCATCGTGTCTCATCAGGTCTCACCATGCCTCATCAGGTCTCACCACGTCTCATCATGTCTCATCATATCCCAGCATGTCTCATCATGTCTCAATATATCTCATCGTGTCTCCCATGCCTCAATATGTCTCATCATGTCTCAGCATGTCTCATCATGTCTCATCGTGTCTCATCAGGTCTCACCACGTCTCATGAGGCCTCATGATATCCCAGTATGTCTCATCATGTCTCAATATGTCTCAATATGTCTTATTGTGTCTCCCTATGTCTCATCATGTCTCAATTTGTCTCATCATGTCTCAGCGTGTCTCATCATGTTTCATCGTGTCTCATCATGTCTCAGCATGTCTCATCATATTTCACTATGTCTCATCTTGTCTCAGCATGTATCATTATGTCTCAATATTTCTCATCGTGTCTCATCATGTCTCATCAGGTCTCATTATGTCTTATCATGCCCTATCATGTCATATCATGTATCATGTGTCACCATGTCTCATCACGTCGCATCAGGTCTTTTCATGTTTCATTATCTCTCTGCATGTCTCGTCATGTCTCATCATGTTTCATCATGTCTCATCATGTCTCATCATATCTCATCTCAATGTATCTAATGTGATCGGACTCATGATATCTATTCTCAACGTACCTCATCATATCTTATGCGGTCTTGTCTTATCCTATCCCTTTTATCGCATCAAATCATATCATACTTTTTTCCCTCTCATCATCTGCCATCATTTTCCGCAATCATCCCGCTTCTTCAACCCAGTGAAAAACCACTACCCCATTGCATAGCTTGCATCCACCCCGCTGGGCCCTCAAGTGATTATATATAAGTGCAACCTCGATAGTGTAAGATGTATGCCGACTTAAGGGCTACTTCAGTAGAAATATTACGACCCCTATACCACCACTGTATATACTAGTAATAGTTCACTCCTTACTGTAGCTATTTGACCAATCCTCCAAGTAGTATTGTACAGCTATACAATGCCTCACACGACCCTATATCTAGAAACGTTAGATATAGAGAGTAGTCCTGTTTAGGTAGGAAGTAGGTTCCCTAACCATCCGGGTTTGGGTAAACCTATAGTTGCCTGCTGACACATGGCTCAAGTCGCCCTCGCATAAAAGGGGGCGCATGTTTACATCTTTGGGACAAGGGAGTTTAAACGGTGTCTTGTTGTTTTTCCCCTTGTTTCTCTACTTCTACCTCTTGCAGCAAGAAAGCTCCAATGGGCGCCAGGATTGTGACTTGCGGGCCTTTGCTGTTGACGTTGGACAGCTGTAGGCGAGAGACTGCACACAGAAAGGAAAAAAAGTGGGATCTTTTGCATCTGTTCTAATTCAGTGCTACAGCACTAGCACAGAACGAAGCCAAATCCCGATGACTGCGTAGCGTCATGTCTCTTGCGGAGCTCTTTGAAGATTTTGCGTGAGTCATTGGCCATCCAGATCACGCAAGTAGCAAGGTATTAGGACAGACACTTTGCTTTTCTTGTGTCTATGACATATATCTACGACATTCTATGACCATGTAGATCCACATTATCACACATATCTCACATTTTTTATTTTGTACAATATACAGAATATACATAATATGTATATATATATATGGCTTGCGATGTTTATGAATGCCATGGTGCAGAAACTTTGGCTCATGCGTGCAGTGACCAGTGGCCTTTCAACAGGAGGGTCATTGGCTGTAGCCCTTAAGCTCCTTTCTTGGGCGGACCGTGCTGAGCAATTTGCACTGACGCTTGGTGGGTGGCATCTGGATCTCCCGAGCTATTTTGCTTGGCCTCATTTCTGGTGTGGTGCTGTTCTTTTTGATTGAACTCTGGTTCACGATCAAGTGGGTGTTGGTTGCCTGGGTGGAACGTAGGAGCCGCAGCTCTGACAGGGGCAGATTGCCGCGCAAGCCGTTGTACAAGCTTGATTTTGTTGATGGGCTCTAGGGCCCAGGCCCTCCTTGAGACTGAGGTGGGCGAACTTCGTGAGGAGGTTGACGAGCTGAGGGCCAAGTGCGGCGACTTCGCCCAGAGCTGCGTGACCTCCGATCTTTGGTGGCTGTGAGTGCCGATTCCCGCAGCGCAGATCGAGCTTCTGTGGACTCCGGAGAGGATTCATACAGTGGCAGTCGAGGACATCTTCAACGATCTCCTGGCCAATCTTCACCTGCTGCTCTTGTCTTTGAGAGAGCTCCTTGAGTGGCTGAGACCAACGGCCCTGTCACTCCTTCCAACCCAGGCCTGGATTGAGAGAGAAGAGATCTGCGACCGAATTGGTCATTTCCTTTCTCAGTGCTTGCAAGGAGCACATCGAGGCTCCAGTGGTCGTGAGCTGCTGCCCAACTCGAACAGGATCTGGATTGTGGTGCGCGACTTTGAGGGCCTGATCTACACGCCAGTGCGGGTGTTCAGAAATTGGACACCAGCGAAGTGGCTTGTGAAGCCCAACAACGGCAACCCCGCGGCCCGGGGACAGCATCTTCGTTGGGTTGCCATCGGGGCGAGAAGCCAGGCGCGTTGTGCATCTGGTGCAAATTGCCTGGCCCGACACCATTGAGCAATGATTTTGTTCCGTCAGCCACCCTGGCCGACGGACAAAAAGCCGCACGTCTTCTCAGGCGGTGCGGTTGAGGCTGAGTATCCCATCTGCCTTTGGGTGGTTGACCCTGAGGTTGGTGCTCCCACAGTGCAAGTAATTCAGATTACAGAGCTGGAGGGGAAGATCCTTGTTGCGGTCCCCGCCTCTGTGTGGCAAGGCGCATTTTTCCTGCTACCGCCCTTTCAAAACCTATACGCTTATTGGGGTTCAAGCTGCCGACCCGGACGATCGCTTTGCGGTGGTTGAAGACGATCAGGTGAAGCTATGGGTTGGGTTCCTACGCCACGAGTATGTCCAGCAGCTGGAGATTGTGGACGAGGCGGGTTACGAGTTCTACTTCGAGCAAGTTTGACTCCTGTTTGCGCAGGGGCTTGTCGACCTGGCACAAGAGCACTTTGCATTCTTTTCAGCCGATGGCATGGATGGCGAGCCAATATCAGAAGCAGAAGACCTTGTTCCCCTCTGAATGCCGGATTGGCAAGCTCGAAGCCTCGCTAGCTGCCATCTCTCAGGACATCAAGAAGATAGCCGGGGGGCGTGTGCGAAAAGTGTTCCCAAGCGGAAGGCAAAGGCCAAAACCTCTGCGTTGAAGGCCTCAGATGTTCCTGGTGGCAAGACATCTGCATCATCAGACCCGATGAGCAAATTTCCTCTTCTGGTTGCGGCCCTGCAAGCCGGAATGCCCGAGACCAACTTGGAGCAGATGCAGCGTCTCCTCTCGAGGGGAAAGCCTGGGACAAAGGTGAAGAATTTGAACTTGAAGGCCCAGCCGGACTACCTGTCCGAAGGCGAAGCGGCTTGCGAAGCAGCAGCAGGCGAAGAATTTGGTTGGGATCAGCCGCAAGACCTTAGCTTCTGTCAGCATGCGGGATGTGCGAGGCATGAGCGTCTCAACGTAGCCAAATGCGCCAAGACTGGCTCTTTGCGTGCCGGTGAAGCCTCAAACCCTGGACCAAGAAGAGCCGCGTCCAGCGTGAAGGCACCTTGTCGGCAACTGAGCTGCTTACTGCTCAGACCTTGCAGCTTGAAGCCAAGCAGTTAGAGCCAGAGCTGTTTTGCAAGTGGCGCAGCGAGCATCTGAAGGATGTTGACCTGGCGGCCCTCTTTGCTACCGTGCCTCTTTTCCTTTGTCATGCTTTGGTGAGGTGCGCTGATGAGCTTTTTGTTTCTGGAGGAGCTTTGAGCAATCTGAGGCACCTAATCTTAGCCTCCCAGTGGTGGATTCCTGCGGCTAGGCCGATGATGCAACCAGCTTGGGAAATGGTCGAACGATGTGAGAGTTTGGTGCCCGTGCGTCATCGCACCCTTGTTCCAGAAGCTTTAGTTCAGAGTCTCTGCGTTTTGTCATGGCAGATGAAGCGGTACGCTTGGGTTGGAGCAACAATCCTTGCTTTCTATGGTGCTGGGCATCTTGGTGAGATACTTCGATGCTGCAGGGAGGACCTTGTGTTGCCCGATGACGTGGTAGAGCCATCTGGCAGTCCTGTCTTCCTTCGTTTGCGAAACTTCTAGAGCAGAATGAGACAGCCTGCAAAAGTTCAACATATGAAGGTTGAAAGCAAAGTAGCCTGTGCTCTTCTGGTCAAAAGTTTTCGAAAGCTGGACTATGACGCCCCTCTGTTTGGCGCGACTGCCTACCAGTATAGAAGGAGATGGGATTTTTTGTTAGAGAAGCTGCAGATAAAACAGCTTGTTTGTGTTACTCCTGGCGGACTGCGTGGTGGAGCGGCTGTCTACCATTACAAGCTGGGAAGGCCAATGCAAGACTTGTTGTGGTTAATGCGGCTGAGAAGACAAACAACCCTTGAAGTTTACTTGCAGGAAGTGGCAGCTTTGAACACCTTTGCTCAGCTGCCCAAGAGCGTCCGTGACAGCATTTTGCTTTCTGCCTCCTGTTTTGCATTTTTGGCCTCTGGTGTCTGCGACTTCGCAGGGTTCTGACAAACATGCCTTCGTGCTACTCGTCCACACTTACCTGCATGGACCGTCCCTGCCAGATGTGGTGTGGCCATACTACTTTGCTGCGAAGCTGACGGCTGTGGTGAGACCTACGACGTCTTCTATGACTCCATCTTGCCCTCTGCTGCCGTGGCGCTCCGTGGCCTTGGCGTAGTCTGGCAACCTTCTGAGCCTGCGTGGGTGATGGAAAACAAGTTGCAGCCTCACCAGTTTCCTTGCTGGGCATAGAATTGGCAGAATCAGCATGACTTGCGATGTTTATCAATGCCATGGTGCAGAAACTTTGGCCTCTGACCTCCCTACGTGGACAGGCCTCCTGCCTTTGCCTAGCTGGTGTGGCCATACTACTTTGCTGCGAAGCTGATGGCTGTGGTGAGACCTACGACGTCTTCCATGACTCCATCTTGCCCTTTGCTGCCGTGGCGCTCCGTGGCCTTGGCGTAGTCTGGCAACCTTTTGAGCCTGCGTGGGTGGTGGAAAACAAGTTGCAACGTCACCAGTTTCCTTGCTGGGCACAGAATTGGCAGAATCAGAATATATATATATATATGTATATATATATATATACACATACAGCGCACATACATGTCCACAGACTACGCAGACACAGACACATACATATACACACCTTTTCTGTATATATATATAGATTATAATCTATATATATATATTTATTAATGTATACATAAGGCTATAAATAAATCTATATATATATATAGACTTACTTACTTGCTTACATATCCTCCGCATGTCTTGCTCTCTTCAAGTGCAAAAACCGAGAACGGCTGTGGACGAAATAAAACGCCGGTTGGCTTGGTCCTTGATAGGGTTTTAACCATCATTAATAGGGGTCTTCATCATCAAAAGTATGGGAATATAGTTGAAACACGATGGTCGGTCGATGATTACAGGGGTTGCGCTACCCTGTATATTGACTGTATTGGGGAGACTCATAAGTCATTGCAAAAGTGTTGCAGAAAACATCTACACTGCAAAATGTTCCATTCTGACTTGCTGCATGGTCACAAGTAGCCGCAGACGCCATTGCCGCTGTCTGACCGAATGGGCAGCTGTGATGATCTGCAGATATGGATTCAACTGCCTACGGCCCGATTGCTGGTTTCAGCACCCGGAGGCTCGCGCCGAACGGTCGAAATGTGAACTCAGATGAGGAATTTGGTTTTGAAACTGCAAACTTGATGTTATTCATGGCACCTTCAGTAACATTGCTAGATTCGTGCCCAGGGCCGGCACATTGACACTGGACTTGCTCTTTTTGACCTGTCTGGAGCTCAACCAAGAAATGCACAGGCTGGCCAAATCTGTGTGGAGCTAGTGTGATTTAAAGGCGTGTAGATTCTTCAATCCTTTCGCAGCGGTGCAGATGGGGAAGTTGGCATACAGGGGATCCCAAGTCGAGGAGGACATAATTTCGGATCCAAAATAAAAATGAGGAATTTTGTGGATCCATAGCCAATTTTGAGTCATGCCAACTTATCGTCTTTGGCTTGAATCGTTGGCATCCTGTTTGGCAGGTTCTGATCATGCGCAATGACATGGGAAGCTTCCGCGTGCTGCTGCAGTTACGCAGCTGGGCTATGCAGGTGGATGGGTGTGTCAGAAAATGGGGATTTGACCAGTTGATTTAGGGGTACCCGGGTAGCCTATTTTGAGACAAATCCAGATGATTCTCCGACAGAAATTTGCCGATTTCCCATTGTCATCTTGGAGGGTGCGGCATTGAAAGATATCCCTTCCCAAATCCTTTGGATTGAATGAACATTCAACTTGACACTTGACACTATTTTGTTCGCCCGAAAAATCCAGTCTACGCAAACAGCACAGACAGGACTACCCCAGAACCCTTTGCTGATGTCACCTTCCATCGCAATGTTTGGTCATGGCAGGTGATGCCTGGTCATTTGGCAGCGGTGGGTGGCATGCGAGATGCTTCTGACGTGGACAGTTCCGTAACAGCTGTGCGGGAGGTGCTGTTGACAAGCACTGCCCGGGAGTTGAATAGAGCAGAGGAGAGTGTCTATGGCCTATGGTGTATATTGTAATATATATATATACACATTATTTATTTATTTATTTATCTATCTATTGATTGATTGATTTATCTATTTATTTATTTGTTTAGTATTATAGTATTTGCAGCAAGATGCTGGTTGTTTGAAGGGCCCTGGCTTTACTGGAGAGTACTCCAGACTGTAGGGTATCTCGGCTATTCGGCAGGTCTTCGAAGAAACTGGCTTGCTAGATGTGGGGCACTTGCCCAGAGCTGGGGCAAACTTGCAATTCAAAGCACACCGAGGAGGACGAGTTTTGAAACCAAGCGGTGAGAGGTTTGGCACTGTAAATGGGGGAAAATGGGGTATACGGTATACCCCAAGTATAGCCATTTAATGGAGAAAATGGTGATAAACAATCAAAATCTGTTGTACCTACCCTATTTTCAGACAAACCCAAATGTCGCTGGAGATCGAAAGAGTCTTTCTTTGAAAGAGAGTTTGGTTGACCGCTCAACTAGTATTGTGATTGAGAGGTTTGATGATATTGATGGCTGTCACACTTGCCACTCACTCTTGATGATACTTTCTCGCTTGGAAACGGTTCATTAAAGAGTTGAATTCTGCAGAAAGAAGTCGGATTCAAATTATGCATTGTAGTGGCAGTCCAACAGACAATCTCGCTGTCAGTTTCTTTTGAACTCTCGCGAGGATCTGTGATGCCGCAGTTCTTTTGCAAGTTGGCAAGCTGAGTTCAATGTGTTTTCTGTGCAAAGACTCCAGAATTAAAAGTGGTCTGATTCGTTGCAGTGGTAAATCGACCTACCTTCTTTTTTCTGAGGTTTGGTGAAGGCGCGCAGGTGGATTGGTGGGTGCTCTTACTCTCCGGGCCCGGCACTTTCCTGGAAACATCCTTGGACGGCGCGGCGGAGTGTGCCGATATCTCAGGGTTGTTGCCCAGCCTGCCGGGCGCCCGACTGGCGCCATGCTGGGGCCACGCTTGGGTGGACGCCGAACGTGTGAACGAGATCCCAAGATCAGTGCAGATGATGGGGGGACTACAACGCCGTGTGCGGGAAGCCTTGGACCTGTTGCGTGCAAGGCAGTTTCGGTGAAAAAAACATGGCTTGGTGGAAATCATTTTTCAAAAACCATATTCAAAAAGGACAACCAATCCTTGAGGGGGTCATTTTCCACTGAAACATGGTTGTTGTGGGTACAGGGTGGCTAGGGCTGTTAGCAGGCATGTATCCTGCGGCTGATTGTTTGGATCCATGGTGAAGGGAAGATGGCCGATTTGCGGGTGTTGTGTGCTGCTGAATCAGCTTGGCTCAATTGATAGGAGGACAGAAGACTCGACAAATTACAAAGATATCCGACCTTCTACCCGGTCGATCCTTCTCTTTAGCAATGCCAAGATTAATAGTGACAGAAACAACATTAAGTTTCAGTCAAGTCGCGACTTTATTGGCAGAAAAATAACCATGGAAAATGCACGTGCAGAATCATCAAAGAACCATCCAAAATTCACATCAATATGTAACTACTGTATGTATCTGTATGTAACTACGCTTTAAAGGAGCTAAATATCAAAGAATATCAAAGACTTGCGTTTGCATCAGAGTGAAGCTGAATCAAGCCTATACACTTGCATCAGTTGCCAACGGTGCAAAAGTATCCTCTTTTGCTTTGACTTGATGCAATGGCACATGCATGCTTTTGCACCATGTGATGCCCTAAGAATTAGATGTTTGTGCTGTGTCCTTGAAGGCACATGTGGCTGATCCCATCACCCGCATCCCGAGGTCGGAAATGTGGCTGACCCATGCCCAGCGGTCCCAACGAACCTATTTGGCGCATGAATGGTACCGAAACGTCTCGCAAGGTGGGTGAAGCCACCACCTCTTGGTAAACCCAATGATGGCAATATGGAATCTTGGCCATGTGGGGATTCTCATAAACCACAATCAATTGGGTAATTATTATATGATACGTTACATGGGTCAAGAATTAGGGTCAAGGGGACTGCAGATTTTGGTCACTTGAAAATTCGTCATCGAACTCAGGGGGTTGCAGGACCTGGATGCTAAATCCGAGCTGTTTGCCAAGATCCAGATCGACCCGAACCCAGTAACTCTGATTGCAGTTTCTGAATGCTGCTCTTGCAGGCTGGTTTGTATGTGGACACTCTTTTCCAAAGCATTGCACACAACTTCTTTCTGAGGAGAACCCGTGGGTATCTGCAGTCTTTTGTCTATATCTGAGGCGTCCCTCTCTTCAAATGACATCAAACGCTGCTTGAAGGACAGAGCCAAAACTCGCGATGCCACCCGCAAAACGTCAGTGTTTCACTCGCAGGAGTACGGGGTGACGGAATACACCGATGCTTTACTTTCCCAGCTCTTGGAGATCGAAGTCTTTTTGCCATTGGTAGGTACTTGGGAGCCTTGGATTCTGCTGGCTGCGGTATTGACACACTATGGGGATGTCCAAAACATCTAGCCGCAAAGAGGTTGGTAAATGGACTTTTCATCAGAATTCCAAGGTAAGCGCGCTAATCAATAAGTCTCTTGAGGGGTCGCTAACGAAGACCATAAGCCCTTCTTCAGGGGTCATTGAAGCCTTGTTGGACCACGTTTTGAGGCTTGGGCATCTATCAATCCTAAGGAGCATCGCAAGTTTGGGCGAAGCTACAAGATTCATCTCAGCAAACATGGGAAACTTCTTTGGCACGGTCAGCACATCGATGGGGAGCCCTTGCGTGGGGCTGCTTGGCATTGCTTGGCCTTGCTGGGCAAGGGAACAGGTCGCAAGAGAAGACCTCGGGTTTCTGTGAAGTCAAGGAGACTCTAAGAGGTTTGGAGGGCAGAAGCGAAATTTCTACAGCTAAATAACAGGTCAAACAAGAGTTCTTTATCGTTTCTCGTGGCACAGTCTCTTGGCTATGTCCTGGTGGGCCTTAACTACCTCTGTTTATATAGTCTTAACTACTTTCTGGCATACTTTTGGTAACATACTTTTGGTAACATACTTTTGGTAACATACTTTTGGTAATACACCAAACCATTCAATTATTGAAGGTCGGTTGAAGCCATTGCCAAATCAATACCTATCTGGATGCTGGTGGTACCATGATCTCAGGTTCTTGAACCAGAAGGCAGCTGGATTTGCAGTGAACTCTACACACCCAGAGAGGAGAAAGTTGGTTCCGTGCGTCTTCGGCATGGACCTGACTGGAGCCTCGGAATGGACTGGTGGAGACCCTGTTTTCGGCATCATTGTTGAGAAGAGAAGCATAGCGCCCGTGCTTTGTCTCCCTGCAAAAACAAAGAGTAACGATGCCAGGAAGCTGACTCAACTTGGTAAGGTGATGCAAAATGTGGTGATGTCAAAATGCAAGCTGAAGGATCAGTACTTAGCATATGAAATGTGGCTTTGGAAAGCCAACGCATTCTGAATGGCCATGGCTATGCGGTTTTGCCGACTGTTGCTGCCTTTCCTGCCAGACTTGTTTCTTTAATGCTGAAATGAAACAAGGATGGTGTTCCGGCGAGAGCAGGGAGGGATGACGTTTTTAGAGGGGACGGATCTTTAGCCACGAGTTTTTGAAGGTTTTTTTTCGCCACGTAAACACGTTTAGCCTTGTAAAACAGCTGTTTAGCCTCGAATCTTTTCCTTTCTTATCCACGAAAAGAAATTACACCCCCGTAGACCCCAAACAGTTATTCGATATCCATTGCAGCGTTGTGCTTGTTTGTGGTTATACTAGCTCCTGATGCTGGCAATTTTTGATCCATGTCAATTGAGAACACCATGAATCACAAGCAACATTTTCTCATACCACACGGTATTGATTCTTTGCCGCAGCATTTGTATCTGAGACAATGAGAGGGAGACAAGGTAGGATACAAGTGGGACACAAGTGGTAAAACGCATAAAACCATGGCGGAACATGATTTTATCTTGAGACAACAAGGAGACACAAAGGGTTTCAAGAACAGAGAGAAGCACGAAACACGGATACAATCAAGATGAAACTCGAACAGAACACTGCCACTAAGGCAAACATATGATTCGAGGCAAATGAGTTTGGAAGCAGATGAAGTACGAGACAGATGGTGAGAGACATATGATGGAAGATATCCAAGGAACAGGCGAAAGGCCGGACACCACCAAGGCAGACCCATGATTGGAGACAAATTAATTTGGAGACACATGGCGAGGGACAAATGATGAGAGACAAGTGAAAGCACAGAAAAGACATCCGGAGAGCCTGACAGCACTATAGACAGCGTGGGAGACAAATGAAGGGAGACATGTGAAGAGACACATCCAAAGAGCCGAGCACCACCAGCCAGAGACGGAGCCAAATGACGGGAAACAAGATGAAACAAGTAAAGAGAGACATCTGAAGAACCTCTGCCAAAACATCCAAAAAAAGGACAACGGATGAGAAATTGAAAATTACGTCACTGACGGCTTTTGAGCGGGTGAAACTTTTTCGCGGCTAAATGCATTTGTGTGGCTAAGCAAAAATCGTGGCTAAAGAACCCTGGAGTAATTAGGTGGCTAGGAAAGGCAACCGGTTTTATAGTCCGCCATGGTATTCTTACCCTGGTCTAGACGAGACTAGCTTGAGACTTGAGACCATTCTGAACTTAAGGATTCAGGGTGTCGCATAAATGGGCTAGAGTTTAGAGGTTAGAGACATGACTACGTTGAGAGTGAATTCAACGCAGCTTCTTGTTTGATCAAAAGACAAGCCGCTCTTGTTTCGCCCAGATCATAGTCGAAAACTGCAAGTAGGGGTGGACAGGTTTTGTAGGCTTTTGTTGATTCGAATCTGCATGTGTGGCCTACAGAGGCATCGAAGAGCCCCCTTTTTGATCGGTTTTTGCACTCTCCTTCAACGACCAGGAATCAGTTGAGCCTGAACTTCAAGACCAACTCAGTGACAACTTGGGGAGCCGATGTTTGCGCCATGCGCTCCTTGGTTCTGCTTGTACGTTCTTTGTGAGCACACCTATGGCATGAAAATGTTCAGTCGCCAACACACATACATATATATCATATCATATCATATCAAATCAAATCATATCATATCATATCATATCATATCATATCATATCATATCATATATATATATATGTACATGTGTATATATATATACATATATATATATACACATGTATATATATACATACATATTGTGAATGTATCAATGATCCCAGTCATTTGTCATACTTTACATAACCCCCGTGATGCCATCCAGATCTCAGGTGAATCTAACAGGAACCAACCGGTATTTCACAGTTGCTTTTGGCTTAGGCGAGCCAGTAGGTGGGTGGAAGTGGGTATCTTAGCAACCTGAAGCCATAGACTGTGGACAGTCGCTACGTGTCGTGGCCGACACTTTGCTTGGTTTGGTGCAGACACCATTTCGAGACCTTTCTGGCAGCACGTGCCGTTTTGCTGCAACCGTGACTTCAGCTGGCCATTGAAAAAGGTGGCGACCGCATTGCTGAGGTGGGAACTGAAGCTACCAGTGTGGATCCAATCACACTGGTAGCGGAGCTACCAACACTTGCTCCGGGGAAACCTTTTTGACATCCAGTGTCAGTTGAAATGTCCCAGAATGGAGGGGACTCTACCGAGGGAAACACTGCAACCTCGACTCAGATGGCAATGCTAGTTCCAAGCTTTGACCCGTCTAAAGACGACCTTGAGCAGTACACGCAGAAGGTTGAGCTCTTGAGTGAGATTTGGCCTGCAACAAAGATGAATGAATTGGTAACTCGCCTCATTCTGAACACGACCGGAAGTGCATTTCAGAAGCTTCAGTTGAGCCGCAGTAAGCTGATGACTGGGGATAAAGCAGGCATTGAATTGCTTGTTACCACCCTAGGAGGTCAGTGGGGAAAGGTGAACTTGGGGAGAACTTACGAGATTGTGGAGAAGGCCTTGTTCAAATGTACTCAACGACAGGATGAAACAAACGATTCCTTCCTTGCCCGTTGTGACGTTGTGTGGTCCGAGTTGAAAGCCAAGAAAATCGACTTGGAGCAGGTTCAGGCGTACATAGTTCTCAGAGGTTCACTGCTTAGCTCAGAAGACAAAAAGCGAGTCATCCTTGAAAGTGAATCTGCAACAACAGGTGTTCTGACCATCGAGAAGGTGAGTCAGTCAGTCCGAATGCTTGGAACCAGTTTCTTTCATGACATGATTGGAATGAAGAAAACCAAAGGGAAGATCTATGACCAACAAGCACTGCTGAGTGAGGATGTAGCTGGTGTTGATTTCGAAAATACTGCACTTGTAGCTGATGACATGGATGAAGATGAGTTCATAGAACAGTTGATTCAGGATGCCGATGAAGATGCTTTGTTGATACATGACTACGAGGCTGCAGCAACAGATGCACTCCAGTCCGATGAAGACTTAGCTGCAGCATATGTGTCATACAGTGAAGCTCGCAAACGATTGTCCGACCGTTTCAAGAACAGAGGCTTCTGGCCGATCGGGGCCGGGAAAGGTAAGTCAAAGTTTTCTGGATTCCCAAAGGGAAAAGGTCGAACTTTCAGTCGTGGACCCAGAAAAAGCCTTCAACAGCGCATCATGGAAAGCACCTGTAGAAACTGTGGACGTAAGGGACGTTGGCGAGCGGAATGTCCTGACAGAGCCAAGAGTGCAGGATCGACCGGATCAACCAGCACATCGGCAGCGATGACTGCCGAAGCCGTTTCCTTCGAAGGGGAGCCCAATGCTTTGCCTATGGAGTTCGTCCAACTGCCTGTGGTACATGAGACGTCACTTGATGTGCCTAGCTTGCATGAAATTAACACTGTTAGTTCAGTTCCCCATGAAATCCGGGAACGCATCCGTAAACGGGGTAATAACCATAACCTTGGGGTAAAGAACATGATCAGCAGCCGCTGCCAGTCGCGTCCCAGGAGTGATTTGCCCGTTGCGAAACCTGTGATGATGCAGCCGTTCCGTGAAGCCAGTGACAGTGAAGTAGCCTTTTTTTCTGCCCATGGCACCTATGGCATTTTAGACACGGGTGCCACGAAGTCTGTTGTAGGAAGCAGCCACTTGCCAGCTCTGATCGAGAGTTTTCCGGCCAATGTCAAGAAGCAGTTGCGCAGGACAACCTGTGAAATCACGTTCAGGTTCGGGAACCAAGGAACGTTAGACAGTCAGCATGCACTTGTAATTCCCCTCAATGCAATTGGTTTGGGATTAAAGGTAGCTGTTGTTCCAGGCGCAACACCACTGCTTCTTTCAAATACGTTGGTAAGAACTCTCAAAGCTAGCATTGATAGTGCCAAGCAGGTCTTGACCAGTCCGATGTTCACTCAACCAGTTCCACTGAAGCTAAGCCCAAGGGGTTTGTATCTACTTGATATCAATGACTTGATTCAAGCACAGCACGGACAGCACAGTGGCCAAGATGGACCTGCAGCCGAGACCTTCCACAGCAGCGATTTTCTCGAGTGCCAAAATGCCAACAGCGATGACAGAAAGCCAGTGATGTCCAATCCACAAGTAGCCGAGACCATGCCACACATGTCACACAGTCATGTAAACACATCCACTTCCACCATCAAGCTGAAGACACCCACAAGTGCCCACAACAGCCAGGAAATCCATGAAACATGTCGGAACACACAGCCCAGAATCGAAGACATCACCGTGGAAAGTTCAAGGCCCAAGCCACTGCCAGCCGAGTTCCTTCAGGTGGTTCGATCAACTCACGATCGTTGCAATGAGCCTCACCAGCCGATTGGACCGTGTGCTGTCCCAGGGCAACCCAGAAAGTGTGGAGTCCTTTCGCACGCTGACAGCTGCCGAGATGGGAGAGTCCAAGGTCACTTTCGGTCGAGCACATGTCGGCCGGACATACGAGGAGATGTGGAGATCGGAAAAGGGGTGGATCCGGTGGTTTGCCAAGACATATGCCTCCAGTCAAAAGGAGGAACATCAGAAGCTCCTGATCTACATCGAGACCATGGTGAACCAGCACGAGACCCTCTACGACATGACCCCGATGACAGCTCGGGAGACCAATCAAGAGGTGATCCGTCCACGCCCCAAGGGACAGCCCAAGAGCAAGGCAGCAGCCAGCCCTGCACAGGTGATGCCAATGACCAGCGAGATCTTCGAGGAGGGGGAGGCATGGGAACCATGGGATGTCATGTACAACGATGTCCCCACAGCCGCAATGATCAGCCCACAGCAAGAGATGATCGATGCTCTGCAGAGCCGAGTCCTCAATGTGGAGAACGCGCTCACCGAGATTCTGAACCATGTGCGGCAGACTCACCAAGCAGCCCCCTAGATCACCTCCTGAATGCCGGAGACTGGGAATATGATTTTGATCCTGATCACAATCATCAATACAACATGAACTACATACAATCCAAATTCAACAACCTTGTGTCACAATTCACTGCCGAACTAAATGAAGTATCAACATGGGACAGTCTCCGACACCAACCACGCTTGCAAGTGCTTGAGGTGTTTTGCAGCCCTGAAAGCGAATTGACCAGACAGGTCAATCAACTAGGATACCGTGCAAGCCGCCATGGGATTCAAGAAGGTGATTTGAGTAGCAAAGGAGGGAGACAACAGTTGTTCAAAACCCTTCTCGAATCAAGACCTCAACATGTTTGGTTTAGCCCGACCTGTGGACCATGGTGTGCATGGAGCTTTCTGAACGAATCCCAAAGTGTTGCCGGTTTCCAACATGTTCAGGAGCAGCGTGACCAGCACTTATATCAATTGGCACTCGGACTTGTACTGTACAGGTACCAATGCATTCACCAGCGACACTTGCATTGGGAACAGCCAGCCCGATCCCTGATGCTGAAGACTCCATACTTGTATGAAGTAGCCCAAGGGACTTACAAGGCCAATTTTGATATGTGTCAAGTCGGTGGTATGAGAGATCCCCAAAATCAAAAGCTTTTCAAGAAAGGCATGGAAGTCCATACTACCTCACAACAAATGTATCTCCAATTCAACGGAAGAAAGTGTAACAAACAACATGATCACCAACCACTTGAAGGGAATACCATCTACAAAGGAGTGAGCATTCGGAGAACAGCTTTCTCTCAAAACTACACCCGAAAGTTTGCCAGGAGTCTGGCTCAAGTGTTAACCAAGGTGAAGAACATGAAGGAAATGCCAATCATGTGCTGGGAGTCTACAGCTTTTGCCATGCAGGGGTTCAAGCGTTCATCCAATGTCCAGACAGGTGCCTCAGCCAAACGTGCAAAACTGCAGAACAGTAGCTTGATCGAGCCGCAGGAAATGCCAGCCAAAAGAAGGAGAATCCAAGGGAAATCCCAAGAGCTTGAAAGTAGCCAAGCCCTATGTGACCGGATTTGCAAAAATGTGACGTCAATAGCACCCAGGGTTGGCAGAAAACTGATTCATGACTCCAAAATTCTTCAGGACATCCAAGAGCTGTTTCCTGAAAAACTGGTGGTGACCGTTTTGGTTTGTAAGGGGACTGAGAGGACCGTCCAACCACCAAAAGACATGATTCCAAGTGAAGCGCCATATCGTCGGGCCATCATCATGCAGAGGCAGACCAAGAAAATCCTAGTTGAAGATCAATGGGAACATTGGGAATTCTTGTCAGCTCGACAGCAGTGGAGGCGGTCTCACCCAAGCTACATGAATATAACAGTTTTTGCACGCAATCACCCTGCAGCGGAAGAAGCAGTTTCCGTGCCAAGTTTGCCAGCAAGACCCGAAATTCAGGAGCCAGCACCGGCATCTGAATCCCCTGAGACTCCGGATGAGCCTCTTCATGCCCCAATGATGCCAATGCCAAGTCCAGATGCAGCCGAGGAGACCATGACACCCATGTCTATAGATGAAAGCAGTCAAGATCACGGCCCAAGATTCTTAGCAATGTCCCCTGAAAATAAGAAGCTAGCGTTGCGACTACATAAGAACCTGGGCCATCCAGAACCTAGAAGACTTAGCCAAGTACTTCAGCAGCGGGGTTATGATCAATCAATAGTACAGGGTGTGTTGGACTTGAAGTGCTCCATATGCCAGATGCAGAAAAGGCCAAAGATTCCTCGACCAGCCTCACTGAAACAAGAACTCGGTTTTGGAGACAAAGTATCCATGGATGGAGTGAAATGGACAAACAAACAAGGTCAAGAGTTCCACTTTTACCATTTCATAGATCATGGCACAAACTACCATACCGCGATCATAGCACCAAATAGAGCTGAAATCAAAGAAAAGTTCACCATGGGATGGCTCAACTGGGCAGGACCACCAAACACCGTGCTCATGGATTCCGCGAGAGAATTTATCTCAGAAAGTTTTGTGCAGTTTCTCCAAAACATGAACATTCAATGTGAGGTTGTTCCACCAGACGCTCATTGGCAATGCGGCAGAGTCGAACGACATGGCGGGGTTCTCCAAAACATGTTGTCCAAGTTTGAACTAGAACATGATGTCAGCAATTACCAACAGTTCCAACAAGCCCTGACACAGTGCACCATGGCCAAGAACTCATGTAGCCTTCGCCACGGGTATGCACCCGACACCTTGGTTTTTGGACGTGGCCTGAAGATCCCCGCATCCATCACAAGCGATGACTCACTGCCTGCACATGCCATTGCTGAAAGTGAGACAAATGCTGGCCTGAGATTCCGAGAGTTGTTGGCCATGCGCGAAACAGCGCGACGAGCCTTCCATGCAGCGGACAATGACATGGCCCTGAGAAGAGCTGCTCTCAGAAGGGACAGACCTCACCGAGGAGCATATGAATCAGGGGAATGGGTAATGGTATGGAAGGTCACCAATTTTAAGGGTTCATGGATAGGTCCTGCAAGAGTAATCAAGCAAGATAACAGCTCTACGGTATTTTGCAACAATGCCGGTTCTATTGTCAAAGCTGCCCCAGAACACGTGAGACCAGTCAGTGCCGTCGAGGCAAGACTCATTCCAATCAACATGCCGGACTTGCCAGACCTTGAGAACAACCAGAGTCACAGTCCACCGCCAATTGGATCCCACCAAGAAGTACCAAGTGACAACAATAATCAAGATAACATAAGAAACCAAGGTCCCATAACAATTCCCAGTAACCCTCAAGCGGTAACCTCAAGTGAAAGTACATCAGATCAGCCTGACCAAGAACCAGAAGAGTTACCCATAACACCAATGAATCCAGAAGCCCAGAATAGCCCTCACAATAATCTCAATGACAATCCATGTCCACAGAATGTCCAGCCACATGAAATCCCTGTCCCAGATGACAGCAGTGATGAGCTGTTATGTGATCTCCTAACATGCGAAGATGTAGATGTGCTGACCGCAACAGCACCTGACGGAGAGAACACCGTGTGGCGTGCTGAAATGGATTTCAATGCAAGCCTTGTGGAGACAGTGTGTCACTGCAAAGAAAACCCAACTGAAGAAGAACTAGTGTTTCTTGCGACCAATAGCAAAAGACAGAGAACGGAAGTGAAATTGAACACACTGGAACCTGAGGAGAGATTGGAATTCGAAAAGGCCAAGACCAAAGAGGTCAACAATTGGCTCCAGACTGGGACGGTTGAGAGAATGTTCAGACATGAACTTGCCCCTGAACAGATACTCCGATGTAGATGGCTGTACGTTTGGAAACCAGTTGAAGACCCCAAGGAACAGAAAGAGCTGGGGGGAAAATCCAGAAAAGCAAAAGCAAGACTTGTTGTTTTGGGTTATATGGACCCCCAACTGGACACCATTCCACGGGATAGCCCCACACTTGGTAGAACGTCAAAAATGTTCATAGCTCAAGTCATAGCCTCAATGCAGTGGACACTCATGTCTTTTGATATAAAGGCAGCTTTCCTTCAAGGAAAGACCCAAGAAGGGAGAGTGATAGCAATTGAACCTGTGCCTGAAATGGTGAGGGCCATGAATCTTGAGAAAACCGAGGTTTGCAGATTGATCAAGTCCGCTTATGGCCTTATTGACGCACCGTTCCTGTGGTTCACCGAGTTGGACAAAACACTAAAGGAATTGGGTTTCATCTCTTCACCTTTTGATCCCTGCCTGTACCTCCTACATGAAAAGGACAAAAAGGAACCAGCAGGAATCCTAGGTATTCATGTTGACGATGGATTGTGCGGAGGCAATGAGTTCTTTCACCAGCAAATCCGAAAACTTGAACAGAAGTTCCCATTTGGATCCCGAAAATCCCAGAGGTTTGTGTTCACCGGAATTGAAATGACTCAAGAGAATGACTACAGCATTACCATGTCCCAAGAAAACTACATCTCACGTATCAACCCAATCCATATTCAGCCAACCAGAAAAGCCAATGTAGACCTTGCCGTCACGGAGAGAGAGAGACAGGACCTCAGAGCTTTGATTGGATCATTGCAATACGCCTCAGTAAACACAAGACCTGACTTGGCAAGTAGATTGAGTTTTCTCCAAAGTGCAATCAACAGTGCAACAATTGACACACTAGTTCATGGAAACAAAGTCCTCCACGAAGCCAAACGCCATAAGACCACTTGCGTGAGAATACAACCAATTCCCATGGACAAAATCAGGTTCCTAGCGTTTTCAGATGCGTCATTTGCCTCAAAGAAACAACCAGAGTCACACACTGGCACCATAATCATGACTACTCATGAAGATATCGGAAAGAACCATGTATGCCCAGTCAATCCCATCAGCTGGGGATGCAAAAAGATCCAAAGAGTGGTGACAAGCACACTCGCAGCAGAAACAACCTCGCTTAGTTCCACGTTGGATCAACTTTCCTGGTTGAGGCTGTTCTGGAGCTGGATCAAAGATCCTCTGACAGATTGGCGGAAACCCACAGAAACTCTCAAAGCACTACCACCAACATATGCCACAGCCACTTTCAAAGAAGATCCATCAATAGCAGTTACCGATTGCAAATCACTATTTGACCTTGTCACTCGCACAGCCACGCCATCTTGCTCAGAGTTCCGAACCCAACTCCAGGCCCATGCAATAAAGGATTTCCTTGCAGAAGGAGTTAGGTTGCGATGGGTTCACAGCGGTGCCCAGTTAGCAGACGCACTGACAAAAATCATGGAATGCCATTTCTTGCGACAGACTCTCTTCCATGGAAAATACTGTTTGCATGATGAATCCCAGATTCTCAAGGAAAGGGCATCCACAAAAACCAGAGTAAAATGGCTTCAATCCACGGAAGATCCCATTGACATCACAAAAAGTGAAAAGTAAATTTTCTGTTGGGAGTGTGAATGTATCAATGATCCCAGTCATTTGTCATACTTTACATAACCCCCGTGATGCCATCCAGATCTCAGGTGAATCTAACAGGAACCAACCGGTATTTCACAGTTGCTTTTGGCTTAGGCGAGCCAGTAGGTGGGTGGAAGTGGGTATCTTAGCAACCTGAAGCCATAGACTGTGGACAGTCGCTACGTGTCGTGGCCGACACTTTGCTTGGTTTGGTGCAGACACCATTTCGAGACCTTTCTGGCAGCACGTGCCGTTTTGCTGCAACCGTGACTTCAGCTGGCCATTGAAAAAGGTGGCGACCGCATTGCTGAGGTGGGAACTGAAGCTACCAGTGTGGATCCAATCACAACATATATATATGTACGTACATACATACATACATACATATATTTGCATATATTTGCATATATATATATATGTATATATATATATATTTGCATATATATATGTATATATATATATGTATATATATATACACATATATACTTATATATATATATATGTATATATTTATATTTATATAAAAGTATGTATATATATACATATATACACATGGATATATACATATATACATATGTATATATATATATATATACATATGTATATATATATATATGTGCGTATGTATATATATATACATGTATATATATACATATGTATACATATATATATATATGCAGATATATATATATATATATATACATGTATATAAATAGATAAATATATTTATATATACATACACACATATATATACACATATATATATACACATATATATATATATACACATACATACATACATACATATATATATATATACATGTATATATACATATACATATATACATATACATATATACAGATATATATATATACATATACATATATACAGATATATATATATACATTCAGATATATATATATGTATATGTATTTCTATATATATATATATTTGTATTTATATATATATATGTATATGTATATATATATGTATATATACACATTACTCTAAATGTATATATTCATATTATAGATCGTCATAACTGGCACTGCCTCAAAACTTTTGCTGACCCAGGCGCCTCTGACGAACTGCAAATTTGCCGACCGCCCTTTGAGACGACAATCGCAGACCTGTCGCTCCATCCCCAGAGCAAAACCCAGTTGCCAAAAGGGGCTCCAGTGCAGGTGGGAACAGCCTGGGGGCGACTTTTGGAAACCTTCAAAGCACATCCTTTTTTAATTGTTCAGTAAGAAGGAAGGGAAGAAAGGCCTCTGAAACGTAGTCTGTTTGAAATTCTGAAAGTACATTCTTCCCTGTTTTCGTGCTACCTCAAAATATGTTACCGGCTCATAATTTGAGCCTAGCAGCCTAGGATGTGCGGGCTTGTTTGAAACGGCATCGTGCGAGCTCAGATCCATGCTGGCTCAGAAAAACATATTTTTGAGGTAGAGAGGAGCCATGAGCCATGAGCTGGAGGGGGAATGGGAACATAGAAATTCCATCTACTTGTATCAATGAAATCAATGTATCTTGTGAACCACCCAACTCTTGTTGCCAACTTTTCTTCCGACTCTATGGAGGCGGCCTCCATTGCTGCAGCAGCTGAACTTTCTAGTTTGAGACTGCTGCAGTTGAAGGAATGCTTGAAGGACCGGGACCAAAAGAAATAAGGTGGTGACATAACCAGACGGAGGCTCTTTTCACACACTAGAACACTCTTTCTATATACACACGCTCGATCGTATATATATATATATACGTACATAGATATACGTACATGAAATATATTGTTTATAGGTATATGCTATATGCTATATATATATCTGTAACTATGTATTTATGTATATGTCTGTATATATATACAATATATATATATATATTACGCACCCCTATAGGTGTACATGCATAAAATATGTGCAAAACATTCCTGGACAGCTTGACAAAATCTCCATCCCGTTTGGGCGGCCGCTTTGACTTGTACCCATGACTGCGAAGCTAAAAAGGTTGCTGAGGTTTTGGTCAAAGACATTTGTCAAAGACATGGCTGCTTTGCTTCGACAGGGCTAATTCCGATCATCCGCAATTTCACACAGTGCAGTGAGACTGATATCTTAGCTGATCCGCACCGTCCTGAGGAGTATGGTGTCACGGAATATGGACGCTTCTGCAATCACAAAGAATCTCTAGTGGATGCTGGGATGGCAGTGGAATGGCGATCCAACAAATTCAACAGGAGCATGTCTTGCTTTGTCAGGAACTCCTCCTGAAGGTCGAATCTGCTGTGCCCTTGGTTGGAAGATGGCAGATTCTTAGTTGCAGGGAGAAGCTGCCCAAGTTGGAAACATACATTTCTTCGGATTGGGTTGTAATGTTGAATGTGTCAGACAAAAGATTGAACATGACAAATCCTTTGTCTTGGTGCCGTGGCTCAGCGTTACAAGGTATGGGAAGCCTCCGAACCGAAAGAGCTACCAAATCAGACGGCTGACCAGCGGATTTCTGAAGTGGGAAGGGCCACATTCCAGAGGCTCTGCTACTGTTGATGCACCTGTGACCAATTGGTCAGCTCTACCTCATGGTCCTCACTTGAATCCGGTCCTCCAGCTTCCAGGTGGCATGTTGAGCGGCATTTTGGAGGATGACGATGGCTGGTTTGTGGCCCAACTGACCACCAATCAAAACGAGACCATGGGCAGAGACCTTAGCAGATTTGCGCAGTGAGACGACTTACCCTCCAGCAATCCATCGAACTCAACGGATGATTGTCCCCTTCCCGAAGCATAGATGGCCTTTGTGCCGTCTTCCACAAGCATATTCTGATTGATTGAGGATCCATCAGACTTCGACATGGTCCAAAGTGGAATGAAATCATCTCAAACTTTCGCAGCTCGCCTTTGTCTCATTTTTTACATTGTTTTTTGACTAATGATACATCGACAACCAGGGTCTGGCATGCGTTTTTTGTCCCAGGAAGTCACATGATGAGCGAATGGGGCAGCAACATTGTTCCTCGGTCCAGAGTTGATGAAGGAATGCAGCAACTTTTCGATTTGAGCTCTGGTGGATGATAGTTTTTTGTTTGATCTGCACATTATGCCACCATGCCATGATATTAAGACAGTGGTTCCAAGGTGTGATTCCAATGCTACAACTGTAGGTACCTGCTAGCACCTAATCAGCGGCTGTAGAGCATTCATGACATGCCAATGTGGGATGAGCACGTTGTCAAAATGGTAACAATGAACATATTATACATTAAACACTACATATTAAACAACCCGGCGATTTTTTTGAGAGCGGGGGACTGTGGGAGTGCCTTTTTTTCACTGATGTTGCTTCAAGATCTCATCTATCTGCCTGCGATGTTGCTGCAAGATCTCATCTATATGCATACCTCGAAATTTCATCCAGCTGGGGTCACAAGAAACAAAACATAATGCACATGCACAACGAGAAACAAAACAACGCTATCAATGATTCTATGTCATTGCTACTGGCTACCTCTGTGAATGAACAAGATCACACGCCTACAAGAATGGCAATGATACATCCATACACATACATATATAGATACTTATCTGCATATAGGTATGTATTGTGGAAGAACTGTTGGCTTCAAGTCTTGTGTGTGTGTGTACGGTACATATCCAAGTTTGCACATCAGGCAACAAGAAACTACAACAACCTGAAAGCAAACCTGCCAAACAGCTGAGACAATTTAATTTGGTAGAAATATGCCAAAATACGGTCAGTTTTGCTGTGAACTATTGTATTGTATTGAGCCAATGAATATCAGAGATAATTTCAATTTTGCCCGCTTGCGCCATGCTCAAATGATAGGGTTGTGTTTGCTTCTGTGTTGCATGTCTTTATAGCAAGCGTGAACAAGAGGAAACAGCACTTTTGATTGACAGAAGATTTCTTTTTGTTCCAAAGCAGTACTGCATCTTCCTGACAGAGCTCCCTACATCATAAAGAGATATGGAATGTTTTGCAAGGGTAAGCATACTGTTCCCTTGAAAAATGTTGTGTCTTTAAACCCTAGTACAGTCTCAACTCAGATTTTAAGGGCAGCAGCATGCTTCTCATAAGTCGTCATTGAAAATTTGAAAGAATGTGGCATTCCTTGAGGAAGTTGTGGCATACCTCTGTGCAACATTCTTCTACAGAGGGGGCAAGATTCCTTTGAGAAAGTGTAAAGCAAGACCCTGAGATGTGCATAGCAATTCCTTTAGAACAAGCACGTTCTGTCTTCCACATATTTTAATAAAATATGTAAATCCTTCCATAGAGGCAGTAGTCCTTTTAGAGAAGGGTATGTAGCATTTCTTTAAGATATAATTTGCATATACATTAGTGGTTTTCAAAAAGGCAGCATTGCTTTCAGACAGTACTTGATGGTTTCATGAAATATTGATTTAAACGTGTTATGCAATATTGCTTCGAAAAAAAGGTATCATTCATTTGGAAAATACAATATCATTTTCAAATAACATAATTCACTGTATGATATTATTATTAATGTGTATATATAGATATATACACATATATATACATTTATACACAATATTCCTTTCAAACATGTGTAGCATCCCTTTGAGAAAGTAGTCTTCAAGACACACAGCAGTCCTTGTGAAAGAGTATGGCTGAGTATGGTATGATTTAAGTTCTTTTACACAGGGGAACCCTTTCATATATACAACAGTCCCTTTGAAAGAGGGTGATGTTTCTGTAAGAAAGCGCAATGCATGGAATTGCCATTTGAAGAAGTATAGTATTCCTTGCGGAAAGCATAGCATTATTTTGAAATGGTAGTCTTCAATAAGCAGTTGCACTTTACGAGACAATGGTATTCCTTGAGGACAGTGCAGCATGCCTTTTTGCAAGTTTCCTTGAAAAGGATGCAATGTATTTGTTCATTCCTTTGAAAAGAGGGTGGATGAGGGTGGTATTCCTTGTTCAGAAGAAAAATACACAAACAGAGCCACCACCTCCAGAAAATAGGAAAAAAGGTCTTCCTCTTCCAGAAAATAACAAATATGGTTTCCCCCTAGAAAACACCAACAAAACTAAAAAAAATACAGTAGACTTTTTAGTTCAGAGAGGTCCCTCGTAAGAGTCTAATTTTCTTTTTGAGGATTGGTTCCTGCATGCAGACATGTGGAAACAGACACAACGAAGTTCGGAGGAAGAAATTTAGGCCGGAAGTGAAATGGATGAAAGCCTCGAGAAAACCAAAAAAAGAAAAGTCTCAACCAATCATGGACCTCCATTGACTTGGTGTTTTTTTGTTTTTCCCCAACAGCAAAACTTTGCTATGGGGTCTTTAGCCCAGATTGGCTCCGGTCCGATCTGGTGCAGCTTCAACACCAGGTTCCGGACAAGGTTCCGGAGGGTTCTGGTGCAGATACCTCCTGAGGTTCCGGACGGTTCCGGTGCAGATACCTCCTGAGGTTCCGGAGGGTTCCGGTGAAGATACCTGCTGAGGCTTCGGAGGGTTCTGTGCGGTTCCGGAGGGTTCCGGGACAGATACCTTGTGAGGTTCCGGAGGGTTCCGGTGCAGATACGTGGTGAGGTTCCGGAGGGTTTCGGTGCAGATACCTTGTGAGGTTCCGGAAGTCTCCGGTGCAGGTACTCGGTGAGGTTCCGGAGGGTTCCGGTGCAGATACCTTGTGAGGTTCCGGAGGGTTCCGGTGCAGATACCTTGTGAGGTTCCGGAAGTTTCCGGTGCAGGTACTCGGTAAGGTTCCGGAGGGTTACGGTGCAGATACTTGGTTAGGTTCTAGAGGGTTTTGGTGCAGGTACCTGGTGAGGTTCCGGAAGTTTCCCGTGCAGCTACCTGATGAGGTTCCGGAGGGTCTAGGTGAAGATGCGTTTTGAGGTTCCGGAGGGTTCCAGGGCAGATACTGTACCTTGTGAGGTTCTGGAAGGTTCAAGTGCAGAGACCTTGTGAGGTTCGGAGGGTTTTGGCGGAGAAGATGCTTGGTGAGGTTCCGGACGGTTCCGGTCCAGATACCTTGTGAGCTTCCGGAGGGTTCTGGTGCAGATGCTTTGTGAAATTCCAAAGGGTTCCAATGTCTTTTATGGCATAAGCACTTAATTTTCTGGCATAAGCGCTTAATTTTTACGGCATAAGCACTTTTTATGGCAAAAACGCAGAAACTTTCAAGCTGTTGGGGATAGCACCTGAGTTTATTTTCTTTGGTTTTGTATAGTGAGTTGGATGCCAAAGCAGAAGAGCAATGTGCAGCATTGAAGAAATTGATTGTGCTTCATGTTTTTGCCAATGAAGAGAATGCTTTGCCCAAAGCGCATTTAGCGCACTCCCCTGACCCCCTGTTCTGATTTTTTTATGGTCCGCATTCTATCTGCAAAATTGTAATTTGACCACAGCGAAACGTCAATGTTTATCCTCAAAATGGGGTCTCCGAAAGTGGATGTTTAACTTTTGGGTCGACAACCATTCCAATGTGTTTGCTTGCCTCGGACACCGAACTGCATTCCTTGTGTTCCTCATCAAATCTATTTGATTTTGAAAGCGCTTACTTTCAGCGAGTTGAAAGTTGCTTCAGGGAGCTAAGAGCGTACCATCACGAGCGTGTTGCAAGTTACTTGAGAAATTGAAGAGTGTAGCATCAAGAGCCTGTTGGAAGGTGCTGCCGGGAAGCAAGAATCGTCACATCAAGAGCGTGTTGGAAGTTAAGAGATTAGCATCAAGACATGTCAAAGAATCACATGGGTGATCGCAGGCGAATGAACGTTCTTAGGCCACCCCACCCCACCCCGCCCCACACGTGCACAACGCAACATAAGTTCAATGTGCAAAGTGCACAACGCAACATCTATAATTAATATCAATATGCAACAAAATGTAGCTTTTGTGGACTGTAAAATTTCCGTCAGCATGAACAGCATGAACAACATATAAAGAATACTAGTTATATAAGGATTCTATGAAGAGTTGAGATTACGTGCTTTCCATCAAGGTGGATTTCATTTGGATCTCATGACGTGGCCAGTGCACTGGGCGAATCCTGGAAGGTCGCTGAACGGGTTGGAGAAGAAGAGCCCTTGAGACGCCCGAATTTCGAGGTCATGGTGGTGAAGATGGGGCATTTACCCAGTGAATATCATGGTTTCATGGGGGTTTATGAGGATTATGAGGATTTAATTGGATTTTATTATAGCCATTGAAGAAGGGGGAAACATATTTTCCAAAGCATGGGGTGGTATGGCGTAGCCTATGCTCAGACAAACCATGACAAAACCATACTTTACCGTTGATACAATGACTTCCCAGTTCTCTCTTTTCATGGACTGCGCAGGAGTCTGAATCAGAGGAAGAGGACAACATCCTGACCGACATTTCCGAATTGTCAGCGCAAGAAGTGAAGCTTTGTTTGAAAGAGCGCCTTGGCTTGGGTTTCAAATCGATATTCTACTAGTTGTTTGACATAGGTTGTTCTGAGAAGGATCTGCCTTGATCTTCAGGTATGGCGTCACCAAGTTCAATGACGTTGAAACGCGAGAACAACTGGTGGCGATGCTAGAAAAAGTTGACACTTGGTTCGCACCAAAGCGTCATTGATTCTGGAGAAGAGTCTCAGGAGTAAACATCATTCCTCTTGACATTTGAAAGACATAAAAAGCTTTGAATCTGCTTAGCTGTAGCAAGTCCACGTGTTCTGAGGAAGATTCTTTGCCTTTGCTTGGAACCTGGCAGCATGGACGACATACCAAGCAATATGAGATTCAACAGACAGAAGACGGTCAGCTGTCCCTTGGCATGGCACTATGGAAATCCACCAGGATAGCTTGATTTTCATCGAGCCATTCGCCAGGCTTTGTCCAAAATCCCATCGTTTATCTCACGTTTCCCAGTGAATGCAGTGCCCATTGGCCAGGCTTTGGGAAGGCCCACACATTTTCGGTGGCACTCTGGTGGGCGTTCTTTACGAAGACGCTGACTGGTTGAGAGCTGAACTCTTTACTTGCAAGGACTGCAGGAATTCGATACAAGGTGCCCCAAAACATTAGCTAAGTTCCTAAGTTGGTTTACAACTAGCTAAAAACTCAGGTTGACAGATCTTTGCAGTAGATATATCTGTCTATTGCTTATATAATTCTATATATCTATTGCATCCATAGTCACTTGAGGTTATAAACCAACTTAAGCGAGGGGACACCAGATTGTACCCTCTGGTAAGCTCACAAAACGCGATGGAAATCCACCACTTACCGCTGAAAATGATGTACAAGTGGTGAGGTTTTCTGGGCCACAACAGTTGGTTTCCCAGAATTGGATCATGTCAATTCCGAAAAGCTTCAGCCGGGTTCAGCCGATGACCCGGTGCCATAACTGACTGCTGACCGATGGCATGCGGCAAGCTGTGAGGAGGAATCGGAACAAGTTGGTTCAGTGAAGATTTCCCACGGCCCAGAGACTCACCCTGAATCGGGAGGCAGATGAAATGAGTTTTTTTTTCTTTCAATAGTGATCTATCTAGTGAAGAGAAGATCGTCCATTTAGCAGGGATTCTCTCTGAAACCATCACCAACGATTCAGATGGTGACATGGCAGCCTTGGCATTCCCCTAAGGACTGGCACGAGATGACGCTCAAGTTCATGCCCAGCAATTCTGATCAATGGGGCGATGATATCGTGGCAAAACGGAGCTCCAAGGACCGTGGCTACATGCTTCTGTGCAAAGAATTTGTTGAAACACACCCCAGTTGTTGAGGTAGCCCGGTACCCCGGTACCCCGGTCCCCAAAATCCAGTTGTTGACACTCCTTTTCCATCCTTTTCCCCTATGGAAATTGGTAGTTTCGGGGTCAGGAGCAGACCCCTCGGCGTCCAAAGCCTCTGCCGGCCATACGAGACCTGGCAGACCTGGACTGTGATGAGTTCATGGAATCGCAGTACTGGGAGTCCTTGGAGGTGCCTGAAGGATGGAAGGATCTGAAGGATGAGAGGAAAGATTCAGCTAGATACATGAAGTCTTGTACTAACATTGTACTAACATTGTACTAACATTGTACTAACATTGTACTAACATTGTACTAACATTGTACTAGTTGAAACACATTTTGAAAAACATGTTGATCCATTTCATAGTCAATTCCTTTTGAGTCCCTTTGCAAATTCCTTCGTCCTCTGTTTTGACGAAGGCTATTCCTCAGCTGATCCAACAGACGTGGCGTCACGATGGTCTCCTCTTGTGGTCAAGTGGTCGAACTCCACAGTTGAGGGTATTCATTATCATTTACGACCCCATTTAGAACTAGTTGAATCCCATCACCAGTAGACGGTAGATCCCCAAAAAGTGGGAGGTACTAAGCCAAGCTCTGCGCGTGGAACACGCAGCCTTGCCCCCTTTGGAGCGAAGAGCGAAGAGCTGGGCGCGCAGTGTCGCCTTTGCTCAAATGACTTTGGGGATGCGAGGGATCCCGATGAAAGGAGGAGAGTATCTGTGGATGGCACACTTCCATTGGTGGTGTCAAAATGTGTCACTTCTTTTCTGCCCGGTATTGCATATTGTGTTGACCCCATCAAGTGATGTTTTTGGATAGAAACCTCCTGCCGCCCTGAGGAGCCGAGCAGGGAAACTTTGTGATTTGGGTGCTGGGTGCCACCTGTGAAGTGGAAGTGTCCTTAGCCGAGCAAGGATATTTCAAGGACATGAACTGGTTGGACCGGGCCCCAACGAAGGTGTACATCATTGGTGAGAATCTACTGGAAGATTTTGTGGAGGAAGGAAAGGCAAAAGTCTTGAAGGAGACGGTGTCGGCCTCTGTCACCAAAGAAGATGCGGCTACCTATGTGGTGGTCTATTCAAGAGTCTTTGTACGAGACCACCCTTCAGTGGATGGCAAGTATGTTGGCTGCTTGGTTGCAATGTCTTGAAGGTTATAATTATTTGTTGTTGACCGGAAACCATCCGAGAATCACATGGCACATTGAACAAGTAGGCGATACGAAATGTATAACAGATGCAATATTTTAATTTTTCTGAGCCAGGAATGATGTGGTGGAAAACAACATTTCTACACTTGAAAGTTTGCAGACTTCAAAGGAATATCACTCTCATTGTCACTACCCTCATTGATAATGGGAGAAGGAAATGATTCGGAAATGATTGGCAGGCTCTCTTTTTCAAAGGGCACTTTGGGTCTTAGTCTTAGTCCTCGAAGTTTGATTCGCTTTAGGTTCAGGGAATATAGGCCGCTCCTCAAGAGTGGATGGTCAAATACACAAAAGTGACCAATGTTGTGGCTCCATGAAGTCCTATAAGACACCATTGACAAAAAAAACATGATCCCGTATTTTTTGCCTTTTGATGCACAAGGAGATCTCTTTGAAGGGACCGAAGTACACGGCCGCGAAGAAGGTGATTGGCTACGCTTAGACCCAGCATCTTGGCGGAAGATTTTCTGGTCAGGATCTGATCTTGTGATCAACCTGGAAAAACTCAATGCCTTCTCCAGTCTTAAACAGATGTGATGTAACTGATGTAACTCATGATGCAGCCTCAGCAGATATTCCATGACCCCACATCCTAGAAGCGAGCAGAGTCAAAAAAAATCAATCCGCGCTGGTGCCCCCATTCTTAGGCAAGTGCTGAACTCTGCGTGCGAATACGCCAGAAGAATTCAGGACCCACATGGGCGCAGTCCTTAGTTTCTGCCGCACCCTCGAAACCTCCAACCTTTCCAGAATCTAGGTCTTGATCGATGGAAGGCAACTGGGCCTTGGTCGACTCTTGGAGAAAAAAGTGGTGCCAGAACCGGAGTCGCCAACAGGAGCTCCGTTGGGGTTTGGGAATTGGTCGCCCCAAATCCCATGGTTTCTCGTTTCATCGTTTTCCCCTTTAAGATGGTGATTTTCGGCTCGAACAGGAGCTGCTCAATCAGCGTTTCCGATCATCCGCACCGCCTGCTACGAAGATTTGCCTTCGCTGTGGAAAAGCGATCCACCGGATTTGGGGGTCATTCTGATGCCCAACTTCACCAAAACAGCGCCGGAAGATCCACAGCAGGCCCTTTTTGAGGGGATTGCTCTGGCTGCCGCATATGCGAAAAGTAGGGCAAGGATTTCTGGGAAACCCGACTGTTATCAATACATTGTAAAGATTTTGAGGAAAGATGATTCAATAAGCACTGACGATGTGACTTCCCTTCAAGAGAACTGTTGGTGCACGACTGACCCTGGACTGTAGACTATCGATCCTGAGACCGAGAGTACTGTGCATCACACTCATGCTCACTAAACTAATGACATGTGTTTTCAAGAAACATACATTCATATCATTTCACATCCAGCTCTTCTCAGCTATCAACTCACAGCTCAGCCAGGGTGTCATCCCCAACAACATCTTTGAGATGTTGGGTGGTCTTCCAGTGGTCGTCTCCAGCAGATGTCGCCTGCAATCTTTGAATTCCCTGGCTGATGGCGTCCTATTGCCGCAGATGAGATGCCCCTTCTCAGCCGGTGCAGGTCGGGGATAAGAGTGCTGTGGTTTGTTTCACCAGCCATATTTCAAGAAAACGTGTTTCAAAGGTGGCAGTGGGTAGAACAACTTTTTTGAACCTTGCTAGGACCCAAAGGTTCTTCTTTATCTTTTCATGTACTCATCTGATACTTGCTTATCTGTGCTTCGTGCTTCGTTTTTTTTTTCCCGATGAGACATCAACAGCCATCCAGATCCACACCCCTTAATCCTCGATGACATGCCTGAACCATATTTGTCCCCAAAATCTAGTGGTTGATCATCATTTTCCCCATAGTAGTTTGAAATGGAGCATCCCTCACTTCTGGACAAAGCTTTTGAGGAGATCCAAGTCTAAAATACGACGACAATGGCTGGATCTTCTGTGCTACTGCAAATGCCCTGGCAAAAGCGGCGCTGGTGTGCCCAGAGCCGGCCTTGCCAACAGGAAAGGTGAAAATCATGTTTTGGGGTCGCTGGGACGGTGCGAAATGCTGGAAGCCAGAGGATTTCTGTTTAGTCACAGGGTGTCAGTGGCCTGTCCGGAAGGGAAGCCCCCCAAACTGTTGCCTTGGTATTTGGTGGTATATTTGCTGGGTTCTTGGATCGGGTTTCAACTTGTCGTCCCGGAAATGGTGGCAGCGGTTGGGCCAGAGACCTAGCAGAGCTAACAGAATCCAAGTGGTTCAACAAGATTGGTCTTCTGTCTTGCTGACTCTGTCCTGCCCAAGGTATAGTTGACCTGAAGTACGATCATCACAAGCCCCTCTTGGAACGAATTCGAGTCCTCGAAACAGGCTGTTTGCAATTGAAATCTGGGTTCAGGGGTTGGTAAATCTGCGCTGTAGGAGACTCTACAGGTCATTATTAATTTCCCCGATGCTTGGGTGATGTTGCATAAGACATCCCCTTTGAGAGAAAATCGGGGCTGGATTTTCTTGCATTAGAGCACATTAGAGCATCATTTTCCCGGAGGTCTAAGCTCAATGCCCAACTCACCAGTGATGCAAACTGGCCAGGTGATGGAAGGATCTCCAGATTCTCAGGCCTTCAGTGTCGGTTTCACGTAGGATCAATGGAAGATCTGGGGCGAACATTGAAAAAAGGGCTCCTCCATGTGAAATTCTGGGAACTTAAGATGGTAAAATGGCTTGAGATTCGTTGCTTCTTAGAACTTCAAACTGCTGTGACATGACTTGCTCGTTGCACAGGTGATGGAGCGCCAATACAGAAGCACTTTGAAGACCACTACCAGTTGCAGGAACAGGAAGCCGCCTTGCAGCCGCTTGGATTTTTGGGATGAGGCTTCGCAGTAGACGGTCATCGGATCACAATGGAATCTACATTTCGTAGCAGAGCTTGAGAGAAAATATTTGTTTTTGCAATATTATGCTGAAGTCTGAACCTGTCCCATGACTTTCGAAAGCCATGCTCTGTGTATTTTAATGATACTAAATCTCCAGTTATGTGATCCATTTTCCATAGTTAACCATAATGTTAAATAAGTATCTTTGCTCCGCTCCGTGTTGTTCTCTTTCAATTGGATCTCGGCTCTCCTTTCTCTCCTTTGTCTTCGAGACATCCTAAGGACTTACAACTTCATCTCAAAGGACAAGAAGCTCACGTAGCTTGGCAGGTTCACAAGATGCCCGGTTCCCACGCGTTGATAGATGGATTACGGAAACATCCATTTGAAGGTTTCCTGAAATAGGGGGATACCGTAATACCCCCAAAATCATCCATTTTATATAATCGGATTTTCCATTATAAACAATCCATTTGGGGGTACCCCAATTTCAGGAAACCCCCATTTGAATGACCAATCAGCAAATGGCGCCAAACGACGCATCATTTCTTTCGCAGCAGGACATCATTGGGCATCTGAGGCATGACTTGTTTGATGCCACTGGCTATGCCCACATCATTCCTCGACAGGTGTGAGATCCAGCTTTCAACGTTGGTATTTCATGATGTTTACAGATGCATGCAATCATGCGCACGCGCCCATACATTGCATTGTTGAAAAAGAAAGAGACGCAGCAGTGCTTTGACACACGCAGTACATACTCAAGAGTCTAAAAGGTAAACCTGGTAGTCAAAACTGCCCTGCGATGCCGAAGGTATATAGGTCCACCAAGTTGTGTCCATATAGGGCTGCTGGGTTTGACCACACATAGTTGGACACAGCAGATCCTGGCGAGTGCCCAAAGTCTTCTGATCTTGCCGTTACCATCCGTTACCTGTTCCTTGTTTCCTTGTGCCTCTCCACTGAAGGTTTGCTTCCCTCGAGTGTATTATCCTGGCATTGCCAGCCATATCTCGGCTGAGTTGGGCTTGAGAGAGGAGGATGAAGAGGAGCTGGTCGTTCTAAAGCTTTGCAACCGGTCTCGCGCAGCAGGTGGGAGGATTCCGCAGCATTCGGCTTTGTGGCTTTGAACATCCCATTCCACATGGATTTGTCCAAGAATGGTGGATACCACAATTTATATGTAGGGATTTCAATAGGGCAAATGATGATAAACCACTTGATTTTAACGTGCTCTAATTCTGGACAAACCCACATGTTGGGAAACCAGGAGTGAGACTTCTGTTGGTTGCAGGTGTGCTCATTGTGCCCTTGAAGGATCTTGAAAAGGTACTGCAAGACTCTTTGCAAGCAGACAGTCCGGCATAAATTATACTCTTCCTGACAGGTTTCCCTTCTATTGGTTGGACTTTTACTTTTGTTTTGTCCTGAACTTGTGGCGAAATCCATCGCACATCTTCCGGTCACACCGATCAGCAATTTGTGGCATCTTTAGAGTCCTGCAGCAACACCAACGTGGTTTGCATCCTGAGGAAATCTTGGAGCCTCCTGCAAAGTTGCAAAGTTGGTTTGAACCTCAACTGGAGCGATTGAAAGAAAACAGCGCCCGCGATTTCGGCGTGGTCAGAGATTCCTTCGAAGAGCATGTGAGGCGGGGAATGCACCAGCTGATGGATTGGCCAAGAGTAGATGGATGAGATTGGTCCATGGCCAGATACTTCATGGTAACTGATTTCTCGGTGCTTGTGATTTTCTAAAGTAGAATTACGTGGCTGGATGAGGCATTGGTGGGCCAACGAGAGCCCAAGCTTTGTAGCAGACGCTGATCTGCATTGGAAGTCGGCCCCTGCTGGTTGAGGGTTCTTAGTTGGGGTCCTCCCAAGGGGTTTTCCTTGGGATACAGTACTTGGAAGAAATCAGCTTAGGGATGAAGTAGAGTCTTTCACGGTTGGCACTGTCATGAAAGTCCTGGCTAAGATGATCAGATGATCGTTTTTTGATAGCAAAAGCTGTTTTTTCTGCATTTGAGTGAGCCAAGCTAAATTTAGGAAGCCCCGCCAACATGAAATTGTTTGGATGATTCGGAGACGAATGCTGGTAGCAACGTTTTCATTGAAACCTGCTTTGCAGAACATTTTTGTTTCAATGAAAACTAGTCAATGCTATTGCCCATGTACGTAGGGATGGGTTTCATGAAGAACAATGGGAATAGGCTCACAACTACAAAAACTGATGTCATTTGATTCAATTTTGTGCAGATTGAGACTCTGAAGACAAGAGACCATCCATGGCCGTGTGTCTGACATGGTTGTGTCCCAGGTATTTTCCGGGAAAAAATCTGGGTTTATCACCCCCAAATTGGATAGAATGACATTAGCTTTGCCATTGAATCCTCCAATTTCAGACACAAACACACACTAGTTGAAGGTCAAAGCTGTTTCAAAAACCGCGTTGCAGCTGGCCATATTGCCAGTTAAACCCTCACTTATTCCTGCTACAACTCCCGTACTGCTGGTGTTCCAGGAGCGCTGCTGCAGCTCCATGCCCACCATGCGTGATGGCCGCTGCTACGATGGCACCATGCGTGTGACTTTTGCCTTGCGACGTAGGTCACGGATGCTGGGAACGATGTGGGAAGTTGTGGGGATCTCAGCACCAAAATTAGGGTTACAGTATAAGCACCCATTTTATGGGGATCCTGTATGCAGTAGGATAGTAGGATGCATGATATCATGGGGAAATTTCGGGGTATATCCGGCGAAAGCGGCTCGGGATCGCAGGCCTGGAGCATCTGAAACTTTGACACCGGAGGATATCGAAGTGGATTGGCTTGGAGGTTACTGGAAGCTGCCTAATGCTGACATGCTGCTTGACTGGAACTCTATTTTCTTGGACCATATTTTCATATCTTTTCTGATTTTATTGACACAGCAGTCTAAAGATTCCATTAGTCACTGCGAGTTTTGTGGGGTAGCCACTTGGAGGTTTCCTGAAATTGGGGTACCCCTAAAGCATCCATTTTTTATATCGGATTTTCCATGAAATTAACCATCCATTGTGACAATGTGGAGTATCCCCATAGGAAACCTCCACTTCCAAGGAGCTCGAGCTTGCTTCGGGAGCGCATCATTAGCCAAGCCAAGACTGGCACAGCTCCGGTTCAGCCGTACATTTTGATGGAGGCGCCTTTCACCCCCCGCAGCCCGGCGCTAGGGCTGCTAGGGAGAGAAGTAGTCTTAGAGTCTTAGAGACCCATGGCTTATGGGCGATATGGGTGGAAACTCCCAAAAGTCAAAGTACACATAAATCATCCCATGAAAGTCTGTTGGCTAGATCCCTATGGTTGGATCCTCAGATTTTGGTCACATCCCCATCTTTGATGGTGAAATCCCTCATTCTCAACGTTTGCTGCTGAAATCCAACATGTGGAATCTTTTTGGATGGTCGACTTGCCCAAAACACAAAATCAAACTTTGGTGCTCAATTTCCCACCATTTCCCACCATTTTTTGGATGTGTCCAATTTCTCAGTGTCTCCTTCCGTGTTTTTTTTTTTTCCGCAGGTCTATGGAGCGCTGAGCTCCGCCCTGCAGCAGCTCTTTGGTGCTGCGGAGTTTACCTCCGAGCGCTTGAGGGAACAATACAAGAGTCAACCGGACACTTGGCAGATTTTGAGGCAGATTTTGGTCCATTTTGGCAGAATTTTGGCAGAATTTATGATGATTGCTGCAGACGTTTGTTGTTTTTTGGGTTAGATTTATGACTTTGACAACATCCTTCAGCCGAAAAGAGTCAACCGGGCGCTTGGGGGGTGGGGTTTCCAAACTGGGTACCCAAATTTATGGCAGTTTTAGGATTGAAATTGATGATAATCTGTTGGAGGGGGCAGGCTTGGCAGATTTCTGCAGATTGACAGTCTTTAAATTCTAAGAGATGGAACTCCAACTTTATCGGTGAGGGAGATGATTTTCCGGACTTGGATTTACTTGGGAGAGATATACCCATGACATATCATAAAATGGAAGAAACATGGCAATTTTTAATGAGATTGGGGATTTCTTGAAATTAAGGAATCCCAAAGCCAGCCAAATTACAGCCCCGAAACCAGAATTTAAGATGGAACTTGATCGAACCCAAATTGATGGTCTCTGGAAGCCATCATTGTCCATAAATTCGGGCCACACTTCAGACTCTTTAGCCAGAACTCATCAAGGGCCATGGGGGGTGCTGCGGTTTTTAGCTGCGCTAAGGAGCTTGCAGCATACCTCATTGCCAGACGAGCCCTGTCATTGCGACCAGAGCAGCGCTTGCAGAGTTTATGTGGGCTTCTCAGATTCTGCCTGACGGCCTGAGAGGATGCCTCAAAATCATTCAAAATCTAGGAGAAAGGATGAGAAAAAAAATGAAACTTGGGGGTACTGTCTATCCTATTCTCTGACAAACCTAGATGCGGAAATGCTTAGTCGTTACATGTGAGTGTCAAAAACTGCCAGCAAGCTCTTGAGCTTTCCACCAAATCGCCCCGTGAGGCGATGTGGAGAGATCCATTGCCAGATTCACAGCTACTTTGCTGCAAACATGGACATCCTGACATCCTGGATACTTCATATACTTCTGCTTGGGAGGCCCCGGGAACTACCTGACCTTTAGCCTCGATGTACTCTTTATTTTTGGACACAACGCCTGCACTGAAGCTTAATTTTGGACACAAAGGCGCAAAAGATGCCAACCGAAATCAACGGAAGAAACTTGAAGAACCTCTTGTATTCCCTTGAGTACCCATCAAGCTCATGGATTGTGCACAACAACTAGGCCTGAGCGCCACAGACACTTCTTTTTTTATTTCAGGGGAGCTTGATTGGTGAGATTGAACCACTAGGTCTTTCATCTTTCTTGATAAGTGGATAGGGCTGGATTCCATTGGATTCCTATGTTTTTTTTGAACAAAATAGGGGGCTTCGAGGAGCCACCATGGATTCGCCAAGGTCAGTCCTGCCAAATCTTGCGTTGAGTCCTTCGTCCATCGGGCACATGGTGTCCTTATCGCTCGTGGAAGCGGCTCAGAAAGGTGGAAAGAAGCGCGACCTGGGCTGAAGCGCTGCTTTACCATTTGATGTAAATGACAATATTTTCGAATGACCACTTTTTCGAATGCAATTTGGTCATTTGACGTAAAGCCTGAGTTCGCTGAACATGAACGTGGCAGGCACCTGACGGGTGGTTCAGAATTGGATTCAGCACTGTTGCGTCCAAGGCGTGGGCATTTCCAACGTGCTGTGGACGCACACCCATCGAATTCCAACGCTCTCTTCCAGCTAGGGATGTGTGCTTTGGAATTGGGGCCCTTAGAGATGGCTATTGAGCTGATGAACAAGAGTTGCTGGTCGAAATTTGCTGTTATAGGAACGGCTCAAAATGATCATTCTCCAAAAATGGATGGTCAAATACACAAAACCACAATTTTTATCAAATTTTGTGGGTCCAATGACGCGCCATTTTTGAGTCCATTTCCATCCCATCTTCAGTGGCTGCATTGGAACTCACTTCGCATGTTTCGCATGTTTGCGTTTTGTTCTCAGTCCATTGTTGGGGAGTTGAGGCTTGCTCCTGGATTCTGATTTCCGGGCTCCCTATGTGAACCTTGGATGGCAGGCATACTGTGCTCCACCTTGGTGTATTTGGTGGTTTTTTAGCCACATTTTTTGCTGTCGATTTGAGGATATGCCTTTGTGATCCTTTGTGGTTTGATAACTTTGACCAACGACATGCTGAAGCTGCAGTCTGCCATTGAGGGTTCACCCGGCAAGGAATCTTGGCGTAGCTTACTTGCGACAAGCCGCTCATGCGGACGATCCTCATAAAGCGCAGGACAGCCTCTCGAAGTGGGTCCCCAAAAATACTCTGCAAACCATTCCTCACGAGAAAAGCTGAAGACAATGTTCTGTTGGAAAGGATACACAGTAAACAGACACTGGAACGCTTGAAGGAGTCCCAAAGACTCCTCAAACATTTCCCCAGTCCATATTGCTCTAATTCAAAAAATCCTTGGAGTGAGAGCTAGTAGGAACAAACAAGACAACTCTGTTGCAAGACGGACTAGGATAGACTTGGCCAAAGCCTCCAAAGATGCCAAAGATCCATTTTCACTATTTAGGTCTCCATATTTTTAGGTATCTATTTCTTGATTCATACGATATAAGTTATATATTATACATTTTATGTTATACATATGTCTACGTATGTATATGTATGTATATATGTATATATATATATACACATAATGTTATATTATACATATAAAATATGTATATGTATATGTATATATATATGTATATGTATATGTATATAAATATATCTAGATATGTATATTGGTGTGTATATGTATATGTATACATACATATTTTCTCCGACAGGACTTCTATCTTCGAGCCATGGAGATCTCAGAAGCATGCTTGATGCGCCATCCGGCCTCGCCGCAATGCAACTATCACATTGGACACCGAGCTGCAGTGATTGTCATCAACGAATGGGGAGCAGAACGGGGAATACCGGGGAATCGTGGGGAACATCATAGTCAACTGTCGATAGTAAGTGATATGTGGGAAAATAAGGTCTATATATAATATAATATATATATATATAATCAACAATAGATCGCAACTAGATATGTAATTGATCTGGGCATCAAACATATTTGTCCAAATATTGAGGCTACTCATTTTCTGGCAATTCTAATGGGGATAATGATGATCAATAATGACGATGTGAAGCCATGAAGCATGAAGACCCTGATTGAAGCCTTCAACGTGACAGAAGGGAAAGGACACTGGTGGTTTTTGTTTTGGAAAATCTATAGTGTTTGAAGTGCGGACAGGGAAAGATTGAGAAACCAGGGTTGCACTATGTTGCACTTGCAATCTGTAGGGCTGAAACTTCCAGGTTTGTTGCTGAGTGCAGCATAGATTCTTCAAACTTTGGTGTTTCGCTGAAAGCAGTGCTGCTTGCTCTTGCACCACTACTGTAGATGGACGAAATATTCAAACCCCTTCTATCCGGTACAACCCCCTCGCCCCCAAAGTTCAATGTTAATGTAACCTGAAGTGCATTGGCCCCAATGGACGAAAGAAACCAAACCCCTAACATCACTTTTGGTAACAGGCGCACTGAAACATTGAGATTTGGGGTGAGGGCATTCAACATAGTGCGTGTTGCAGGGTTTGAATATTTTGTCCATCTAATGTCTCGCTCTCTGATGTTTTCACATCTTTTGGTCTCCAAACTCTGTTGTGGAAACATCACTCTGCATGCTGTTGATCTTATCCCAAGCTGCGCCAACATTGCCTTTTCACAAGTAAATGCCTCCTGTCTGTCTCCTGTCCCATTTTCCTATTCCGTAATTCGCAACTTATTCCAAGCTGCACAAAACATTGCGTTTTCACAAGTAAGTGCAACCTTTGTGCTTCCCGTCCCAATTTTTCTATTTCCTGGTTCGCAACTTGTATTCCAACCTGCAACAAGAGTGTGTTTTCACAGGTAAATGCTGCATGTGTCTCTCGTCCCATTTTTCTTATTCCCTAATTCACAACCTATTCCAAAAGCGCAAAGCATTGTGTTTTCAAAGGTAAGTGCAACCTTTGTGTTTCCCGTCCCATTTTGCTATTCCGTAATTCGCAACTTATTCCAAACTGCACAAAACATTGTGTTTTCACAGGTAGGTGCAACCTCTGTGCTTTCCGTCCCAATTTTCCTATTCACTAATTCACGACTAATTCGTTGGACGTGGCCCTGCCGATGGATTATGTCAGTTGTGGCATGCTGCTTTGAAAACACAATGCTTTGCGCAATTTTGTGCAGTTTGGAATAGTTGTGAATTAGGGAATAGGAAAAATGGGACGAGAGACACATGCAGCATTTACCTGTGAGAACCTTTTTTTTGCAGTTTGGAATGCAAGTTGAGAACCAGGGAATAGAAAAATTGGGACGGGAAGCACAAAGGTTGCACTCACTTGTGAAAACGCATGCAGCTTGGAATAAGTTGCGAATTACGGAATAGGAAAATGGGACGGGAGACAGACAGGAGGGATGTACTTGTGAAAAGGCAATGTTGGCGCAGCTTGGGATAAGATCAACAGCATGCAGAGTGATGTTTCCACAGCAGAGTTTGAAGACCAAAAGATGTGAAAACATCAGGGAGCGAACCAGTACCAACTGGGGTGTTCGGCATGCCGCACACCCCAGTTGGTAGTGTAGTTCGCCGTTTTGAAATCTGAACGCAAGTTCCACTGACAAAGAAATCGCTGAGATTGCACTCGTCGCCGGCACCACAGATTTTAGATCTAGATCTCTCTCTTTCTCTCTCTTTTTCTCTCTGCGTCATTATCACCATCATCTGATTTGTTTGATGAAACTCCAGCTGCAATCTCAAACAGAGACGACGCAACCAGAAACACAGAAATTCCTTCCAACAGCCATCACTAACCACCACCGCCATTACCAAGCATCAACTGAGGTGTTGCCTGCACGCAGTTGGCCTTTTATCTCCAGGATGGTGAAGGCGTCGACTGCAAAGACGCTCGCTTCATCGAGCTCCGGGGACGTGCGGCAAGGGAGTTTCTGGAAGCCAGGTGCGCGGACCAGCCACAGCCAGTGCAGCCAGTCGTGAGTTGTAGCCCATTACCCTTTGGGAATTTGACATAGCTATTGAACATGGCCATTTAGAGTTGATTTACTATGATTTACCTATCAAAAGTGGTGATTTTCCATAGTTGTGTTAGTTTACCAGAGGGTACATTGGAGCACAGGGAGGCTTTTCAGTGATTGACAACATGGTTTGCACGAACAACATGTTTTTTTTTTCCATTGAACATGCTGAGTATGCCTATGCTTGCCAATTTCATTTGTAGACATACAGCAGACACAGTTGATGTGACAATGTGATTTCCGTATTATGTTGCAGGGGCAGTGTTGAAGCAGCGCGGCGCCTTAGTGAGTCTTGGCTACCAAAGTGGAGTACCTCCAACATCCAGTGATTTATCCTTTTTTTCCTATTAAAAGGCAAATTTTTGGGGCATCCCCATTTTTGGACACAACCATTTTATAGGATTATATCAATTACATCCACTTATATCCCAAAGTTTAATCCCATCTCAACAGGTCATATATCAATTGTAGATATTTCAGGCACATCATTTTCTGGGCCCCGGCAAACCTGCCAACAGGTCACCAGTGACATTTGTTGCGCCCCAGGACTGGCAAGAAGCCCAGGCGCGTGGTATCGCCAAAAAGCAGCAAGCACCCTGGCTCTCGGTGGACGACAAGATGTTGCAAGCCGTCGAAGTGCACATGAGCCTTGGACGCGACTGGGGAGCCGGCTGATGGTGATACGAGTCGTCAATCCGCAGGGTTTGGATGCACACATCAAAAAAGGAAGCCCTAGTGAGGTAGACTATGACCCCTATGGATCATGCAATCATAGTCATAGTCTACTTCAGTACGGTTGAGAATCTGTTTTTAGCCATATGGAGGTTTCTTAAGCCATGCGGGACCCCAAAATCCGGAGGACTGGATTCCTGGATGTTATCTGTTAGCTCATTAGGATGCTCACTTGAGGATTGGGAATCCCATACGACTAGTGCTTGGCAGAAGGAGCACCCAAGAAGACTCCGCAAACATTAGAAACTTCACCACAAATTCCAATGGTGCAGCCATAGTTTTTCCTGATACTTGTTCCCGCTGCAGCTGGCGGCCAAGGATGCAAGGTCAGACCTTGAAACCGATCAAGATCCCAGAATTCATTGGCTGGCGCCTGTTTTTCTGGCGTGTCTAGGGCTAGGTCTAGGTGGTGAATGGTTCACTTCAGAAGGTTTTAATCTCCTCCCGGGCTGCTGTTGCTTGAAGGGGGTTGACACATAGGATTCTATGATCCAGCACCAGATTCGGGCTGTCGCTTAGAGAGGGATACCATGGGTGCGGAATCTGAACTATTTTAGCAAAGTTGCTGGGGAGGCTTTACCAACCCTCCGACTTGATGTTCCTAGGTCTTGCAGTGACTCACTGTAGGACAGTCGCGACGAAAAAGATGGAAGAAAGATGAAGAGACAGCATTTCCTCCAATGCAAACGTGGAACTCTCGACAGAGGTATGGCTTTGAAATTATCACCCCGAAAAATGGACGGTTTAATACCAGCATTGCCAATTTTGCCGTTCTTATGGCACTCAAATCAGGACCCACACCCAGCGGCGTTTTGGCTCGAGCCCGCCGGATCAATGAAGTTACTACCGTTGAGCCTGTGGCTTTTTGTTTTTGGGCTTTTGATCAGCGATGAGGCTGGTGTTTGATGGTTCTTGTTATGGGTTATCATTCTTGGTCGGGTCTAGGTCTTGTTTTTTTTTTGTTTTGTTGTTGTTGTTGTTGTTGTGGTTGTTGGTTCAGACTCTGGTTGTGGCTGTCGTCGTTGTTTTCGCTATCGTCGTTGTTGTTCTTCTTCTTGTTCTGGTTGTCGTCGCCCGCCATCATTTGTGGTACAATCATGGTATCAGTGGTCCTTAGTTTGTTGGGACTGGATTCTTTGGTGAAGTCTTTCTTCAGCCGATAATGGAACTGGTACCCTGCAAACTATTTCCTTGTTTGGGATTGCAGACCTGCCATAGGGCCCGGCCTATTGGATCAAGACCAAATGTTCATCCACAAACATATGGGATACCCTAGGTCTTGACCTGTAACCATGGGACCAAGTGCTCTTCCCGGCGCTAAGGCTGCGCTGCTGGTGCAGCCAGCGGCCGCTGTGCGTAGAGGCAGGTGATAAAACCGAGCAAAGTCTCCCTGGGTGTTGCATTTTTTTGTCATATGCCATGGTAAACAGATTCACATTCCATGGTAACTTTGCATCGCCCATCGGTCCATTGGGAGCTGTTCAATTCTACTGAGGAACCCGCCAAAAAGTCAGAGCTGTTCAAGCACGCGGCACTGCACACTTGCATGAAGTCTGCAGCTCCTGCGGTCCCTCAGCTTACTGGATGGAGTACTATATTTATCTATTTGTTTTGTCAGTGCATCATATGGTGAATCACAGATATCCATCATTAATTATGTAATACAGTTTATGATTCTTTATCAATGATCAACATCTAATAATTATGATAGGAATTAATTTCATTTTTTCATTTTTTCCAGATGAAAGCAGTTATTGACTTGCAGCCATTGATAGATTGATAGCTAACTGACCATCCATCGTGGCAGGCGTTGCAGGGATGAACACCTTGGAGACGTCCAAATACTGTGGCGAGCTGCAGCAGCAGTGTCCCCCCCACATGTTTTCGCGGGTAATGTGGTGAATCCGACATACCATCCGTCAAACCATGTCACTTGCAGAGTCTTCCGGCATTCGGAGATATGTCATGGTGTTTGCCGGTCTCATTTTTTTGTAAGATTTCAGGCAAATTTGTGCCAAACTAGGGTTATAACATCCGAAGTTTCTAGGATGACGATTTTTTCAAAATAACTATTTTTATGATTTTGATACATTTCAGATAGGATTTGTTGTTCTGAATTGTTTCTGGCGTGGTTTTGCAGTTATGATGTTGATACGGTTTTAGATATGATTTTGATATGGTTTCAGTTATGATTCTTGATGTGGGTCAAAATTGTGATTTGAAGCCAACCCATCGGAACCATATCCAAAATCGTATCAAAAGCGTATCAAAATCGTATCAAAATCATATCAGAATCGTATCAAAACCACAAAAAAAACCCGAGAAATCGACCAAAAGGCTGTCCCGGGGCTGTTTCTGTTTCCTTTCTTGAAGCCAACCCGTCAGGAACCCTGAAAAAGGCACTTCGTTCCCAAACCATATCAACACCATATCAAAATCACATCCAAAACATTCCAAAACCATATCTAAACATATCTAAGCCATAACCCAAACCATATCAAGAACATAACAAAACCATATCGAAATCATAACCCCAAATTCAAAGCGTATCAAATTCATATCTTCCAATCGTATCAAAAACCATATTAAAATCGTAAAAACATATTTCCTGAATTTGGCATCCTGGGTTATAAAACTAGGGCACCCCAAAATCGCAGGTTTGTCATCCTCCTTTCCAAACAAATTCGCCATTTCAGCATATCTAAGTTGTGGTATCCCCTCCATTTGTGGAGAACCCCTGGTGATGTTGGTAGGTCAAAAGGTTTGCGTGGCCGATCGCAGGTCAGTGTTGCAAGGAGAAGGTACAGAGAAAATACAAAGAGAAGCTCAACAGCAGAGTTGGGTATGGGTCAAACTATCAATTCCCCCCAAAATGGTCACTAAACGTTGCAAATTTTGTGGGTCAAATGGTCCTCCGATTTTGAGAATTTTGGGGATGTGGAGAAATAGGGAATTTCTGCCAGTTGGCAGATTGATATTGATTTCCCACAGGCCTGTCCATGGTGGATTTCTGGATGTTCATTTCAACTTGAAAAAACACACATCCCGGGATGATCTGAGGATTTGCTCTGGATTTATGGGCTTCGGTGGCTGTGTTGAGGGCATCAAGGCTGCCATGGAGGCAAAAGAGAAGGAATGCAAAAAGAAGAAAGAACTCGTAACTTGGAAGCGGAGTGGATCACAAGATGTCTCTGTCTCCCCATCTACAAATTGAACTCACTTGGATTGAAGCATCGTATTGGAATCTGGGGATGAGGATGCGGGTACTGCCCATGGCAATTTTGGAAGGTGCCTTGCTTTTGTTTCTTCGAGAAGTGTTGCATCAGTTTTTGAGAAGCCAACATGAAGTTGAAGTCCTTGTATCTCAGGCAGACTACCAACGAGAGCAGCAAAAACAGGAGATCGAAAAAGCTTCAGGAATGGACATTTTTGACCTCCACGCATTTGAGGCTGGTTTGCTGGCTCACATAGCACTCGACTTTTTGACCTTTGCATATCCAAGAGTGGCCAGGTGAAAGTGAGAAGTAGAAAAGGGATCGACACTCCGTACCATGATGAGCGCTTTGGCCGAAGTTTTGTCTTGGCTACGGTGTTAGTTGTCATGGCATGTGCGATGATGCCAACCCACATCTCGTTTCCAGATACTCTGCAGAGATGGGTTGCTCGTTGTGTACCTTTTTTTGCCTGCGATCGTTCACACCAATCTACTTTCTCTCACCACAGTTTTGGTAGATCTCCCCCTTGAACCTTCTCCACTCCAGGAGGCTTGAAGAAATTAAACCATATTAAACCAACAGTTTCTCTCTGGTCATTTAGTACCATAAAAATGACCTATGGCCATGGATGATTCACCTTTTCCATGGCCAAATTTCCTTAGTCGAGGTGCGCTAGCTACAACGCGCCCAACTGCAGTGCTGCGCCCCTCTGCGCCTTCGGCGGCTGCGACCGGACCTTGTGGACCTTGACTGCGGCACCTCGATTGTGCCCTTGGGAGCTGGAAGATTTTAAGGACCAAAACAAGGCCATTGGGGGTCCTAAAATGGGCTACCCCCAACTCATCCAATTTTTTCATGGGATTTTCCATAAACCAACCATTTTGGGGTACCCCCATTGATTTTGTCGGGAATAGAAATCCAATGAAATCCACATCCTGGAAGTGGGATGTGAGCAGCAGGGTACGAAAGGTGTGACCTGTAGCCGTGGATTTTCGGGTGTTGGAGTTGCGAGTTGCGTCCTTAGTATGTCAGTGTCGTATCGATGTCCCACCTATTTTCCGAGCCACTGGATGCGCCGTGACGTGGTTATTTTAACTGGGAAAATGATGACAAACAGTTTTTTACCAACCTTTCAGACCAATTGTCCCTTGGATTTTGCTTCAGAAGCACCCCTTGTGCCCTGCCGGGCCAAGGACTTGAACGAAGTTGGGGGCTGAGGGATTTCATTTTGCCACACAAATTGGTTTGTACAAAAATGCTGGATACCCTGAACATTCCTATGTTGAAAAGGATGAGACGCTATTGGATTTTGGCACCTCTTTCCTGTTGCATCGCTCAAGGTGGAAGACTGGCTGGGCATGCTGAAAATGCTGCCATGCATTTGAGGAGTCCTCGTGCTGAGCAGAAAACAGAACTCGGAGTATTCGGGTCCATCTGGCAGTTTCAGTATTCTTTCCACCAGATGATTTCTGAAGTCGATTTGCTGAATCGTCAGGTATGACATTTGTTAAATCTGGGATTATCCTTGGACATCCGACGAATGGCCGCAGGGCAGTGGCATCATGAACGGCGTCGTGGCCGTGGGTCTCTATATGGCTCAATGTTTTTCAATAAAGCTTTGCTTTGCGTCGGCCCATGATTTTTCATTTGCCAAGCGCCACCAAAAAGACACCAAAAACGCCATGATTTTTATCAACTGATCACCATGGTACTGCACTGACTCCCTGACGGCCATGGCAGCCATGGCATCCATACGTCGCAGTCGCCTTCATTTCTTGGTCCCTCTGCTCCTAGGACCACTGTGTGTGTGTGTGTGATGTTGTGACTCTTTAATACAGGTACATCACATCACATACAGGCATTTGTTCAAACTGTCGATACCACCAGATGTTGGTTATTCATTGTCATTTACTAGTACAACATCCACTTTTGGGATAGCCAAATCAATATCATATCAAATCGGTTATATAAACATCGCGTCATATCCCCATTTTTGATTCAAATTGCCTATATTTTTGATTGCGAAATACCCTGAAAGGTTTTGAACCCCATTGTTTTTTGTATCCCAAGGAATCCTCATTTTTGATGGTTGAATCCTCATTAATTATTGGTGGTGACAGATCTCATATCATGTCATATCCCATTATATCCTCATTCAACCATTACATCCTCGCTGTATCCCCATTATATCAACATGATCAAAATGGTTGACTCATTAGTTTATCAACATTTAATGGGGATATACTATCCAAACCATATCCTATTCCAAATTTACTCCAAAAAAATACCCAAATCCAATCAAATTTACATATTTTAAATGATACCATTCGCATGGGTATATATATATACCCTCTGGTTATTTAACATAGCCATGGAAAATGGCCCATTTATAGATGGTTTACCTGGGTTTACATATTAAAAATGGTGATTTTCCATGGCTATGTTAAATAACCAGAGGGTATATTCATTTGTGATTCTTCAATCTCCAAATCCCTGGCATTTTCCCAGGACTCTTTGCCACCGAGCAGCTTTTTGTGGTTCCTCGCCGCGCTGCCCTGTCTCTGCTGGGGACGCTGCAGGTCACGATGCCGGCGATGGCAGATGAGATTGACGATGAAGTGGCCGAATACATCAAACAGATGAGGTCAGCAGTGGGCCATGGGGATCAAATGCTAGGTCTTGGTGAATATACATAGTATATATATAAATATATGTGAAAGCATTGCAGGCAGGAATTCAACATCGTTCACGAGTCACGCAGCGCAACACCCGCTGTGTTGGCTCAAGACCGCCCAACGCTCCTGTGTAACGTGAAAAGGGTTCTGATGAGCGCATCTGGTTGAAGGGGGCATCAACAAAGACTATAACATTAACAAGGTGGAGGACAAGGTCAAGTACATCCCGTCATTGAGGGCTGTCCCCATTCGCAGGTTATCAGCCGTACGCTCATCACTGGGCGTACGGTGGTCCCACTTTATCCTCAACCCCTTCGGCATCTTGGTCTTCCTGCCCTACTACAAGTCATTGGTCTTGAAGCAAACGGAGGCAGACTAACAACAAGAAGATGTCGCAGAAGAACCAGTCGAGCAGCAACGACACAAGCTTTTCCTTCGGAGCGAATGCTGCTCCAGCCCAGGCGATCAATGACACGCCTGGATCCCAAGAGAGCGGCGGCGGCGGCACGATGTCTTACCGTGCAACTGGAAGTATAGCATCAACAAGCAGCTTCACTGTGGTCAATCAAGCTGACGTAGTTCGAGGAGGAAGTGCCAGAAGATCAACATCGGCAAGATCACCTCGCGCTGCAAGGTCTTGCATTGCAGAAGACGGCGGTGGCCGAAGCCCGTCGGGCGCGGCCACGCGGGAGGATGAGGCAGGTAAATCTACCACCTCATCCAAACGCAAGCCATCGACCAGCGCTACGAGGAATGAGAGCGAGGCACGTCTTCGACGTCAACTACAACACAATACCGAGAAGCTGGAGAGGAGCGAACGGGCAAGGACTGAACTGGAAAACAGATTAAGTCTTTATCAGGATGTTCTTGCACACCGTGATCAGATGATTAGCAACATGGAGATCTATTCACATCAACATCATGAAGAATATCAAGAACATGTCAACTCCGAGATGGAATTCATGAGAGTTTCCCTCATCGATGCACAACATGTACTTGAAGAGCAGTCGATCGCACTGGCTGAGGCGCATCTCCTGGATGAAGGCTCAACAATGAGGATCATCGAGCTGGAGAAGCGTGGTCAACTCGCTGAAGCAGGTGCGGCACACATTGTTCGGGAAAGCATGGAGATGAGGGGAAAGTATCTCACTGAACTAGAGAACGCATCACAACTCATTCGTCAACAACATGACACATCTGAAGCTATGACAGTTCACTTTCGTCAAGATGGGCTACAACTGCGTGAAGCATGTACACAGTATGTCCAAGACAGGGAGAATGCGAGTAAGGAAGAAATGGAGCAATTGAAACTGAAACTATCAGAGAAATCACAGATGATGGCTGACAACAATGAGATGATCATGGAATATGGCCAACAAGCTGTTGCAGTACGTGATGAACAGTTGGTAGAGATGCAATCAACTATTGACGAACTTACTGCCAGTTTGTCGCACAAGGACAACCTTATTGCTATCAGGGATGATGCGAATCGTGATCACATTGTGAAGGTTCGCGACATGAGGAACATGATTCAGGAAAGAGAGGAAGAGTATAACCGGAAGCACAACGAGCTCGAGGTGGAGATCAGAAGCCTCATGAGACTGAATGAGAGCGAGAGTGCTACAAGAGAATGGTACACAAATCGGTTCATTGATGAGAAGAACGAGTTCCGCCAGTTCAAACATGACGAACTCAGTGCATTCAAGGACAGGGAGATCACCATCGAGCGCGTCAAGGACGAACTCATGGATGAGAACATGGCTTTGATTGAGTCCACCAATCAGTTGAGAACACGAGTTGCTGAACTTCTTGGATCTCGATTTCATGCTGGTGGCGATGAAGACAATGCTAAGGTGAATGAAGAACTACGTGAAGAACTTCACAAGGCCAACATGGAGATCAGTCGACTTCAAGAAGCAGTTGAAAGCAACCCGAAACTAACTGAGGCACTCATCGACGCCGAAGAAGCGGAGGCAGACAGGTACAAGAAGCTCTATCAGTCGGCATGCTCTGAACGTGACCATGTGATCAGAAAGAATGACTCGCTGAAGCAATCACTTCATGATGCGAGACTGACAATGAGCACAGTGCCAGCGTCATGGAGCAGAGTATCGACCAGAGCTACAGTACCAGCTGCACCATCAGCTGTGCCTCCTACGACCCTAGTTCCGAGGACGACTGCACTTACTGGCAAGACTCCATCATTTGCAGTATCGATTTCAACACCTATGGGTACTCCCAAAGCATCCTCTACGACCAAGAATCATGGTCCTGCTCTACCTCCACCACCATCACCTAGCATGAGCAATGCCATCAAGAACCAGACCAACAGTGAGATCGATGAACTTCGTGAGAAGCTTCGTCGGTCTGAAGAACAAGCTCAACAGAACTATGACGAGATGAAAGAGTACCAAAGTTGGCTGGAACAAGCTGAAGAAGGGCAAGAATCTTTGAAAGACAACAAAACCCCTGAATTTGAGCCCGTTCCTGACAATCCTCCTGGACTTTGGGAACGGAAGGATGGCAAAGATGCTAGTGTTGCAAACAGTGATGCTGGTCAAGATGGCAAAGATTGGATAACCAGAATTTCCAGGAAGGAACACGAGAAGGTCACTGTCAAACCATGGCCAAAATGTCAAGACCTTGATGTTTGGCGCTCCAACGTCGTGCAGGCCGTATGTGTTGCATCAGGTGATCCAGACACGGCTGCGTGGAGAAGATGGCTATCTCCTGCTCTATTACCCAGTCCTGACTATGCCGAACTTGCTGATTCAGGAGAATTCCGTTTCCAGTCCATCGACTCCAAGTTATCCATAGCCTTGCAGAACATGGTAGACTCCGCTGGCGAGACGGCATCAGAGGTCAAGGTTCGGATCAGACAGAGGAGTCAAGTGTTGGGAAAAGAAGGGAATTTCCTGATGGGCAGAGAGATATTGGCAATGGTTTTAGATCATTTCAGAACAACATCGAAGGATGAAGTATTGTTCAATGCCAGCCACATCTACAAGTTACAGTATCGTGGTGACAAGGAGATGGATAAGTTCCTCCACGCTTGGATTGAGATCATCGCCAACATGAAGGCTGAGGACATTCCATCGGACAACACACTGCGTGATCATCTGCTGAGGAAGATTGATGGTTCCCAGGCATTGCACGTCGACCTCACGATCTTCAAGGGTAGAGACAATGATGACAAGAAGAAATCGTATAGTGAACTCTTGGAGATAATGAGGAGGCACATAGCTCGTGCACGCGAAGATCGCAATATCGCGGCCAGGGACAAGTTTGCCACAGACTGCACCAATCTTGGTAAGCCTTCTACCCCAGCTCCGAAGCCGACGGCTCCGGCGCCTACGCCGAAAGATGGGAAGGGTGGAAAGCCGAGTGCTCCAGCACCCAAAGGCAAGCCTGGAGCTCCTGTTCTACCTTCCGGCAATCCCAAGAGCCATGGCAAGGGGAAAGGCAAGGGTGGCAAACGATCGAGATCACCTTCCACACGAGATACTTCAAAGACCTTTTGCCACTTCCACTTCAACAAGGGCAATTGCAAGCATGGTGACAAATGCCAGTACAGTCACTCCCAATATCATTGGGACAAGAGGAAGGACAAAGGTGGAAAAGGGAAGAACAGCAGATCGGCTACTCCAAGAAGATCGCAGACCCCTGGTGGAAAGAAGGATCGACATTGCTATGGTTGGCTGAAGGGTGATTGTCAGAAAGGGGACAAATGTACCTTCAAGCATGACCCAAACATGAAAGGCAAGAGAGCGGCGCCTTCTACAAAGACGCCCGACGCCAAAGCGACTCCGGCATTAGTCCGTGAGTACGATGACGATTTCATCGTGAACGCAGTGCCTATCGAGAAGAAGAACAAGATGGATGTCAAGTTCAATGACAAGGTGGAAACCATCGTGTATGTGAAGCCTGATTTTGTGGAATGTTCCAACAGGAAGCCAAAGAGAAACATGTCCAGAGCTCAGAAAAAGTCATTGACGTGCAGAACAACCAAAGAGATCATGGATGACCAACAATGGGTATTACAATCCAAGTTGGGAATGACAAGAGCACGTGCAATCGGCATACTGATGGACGACTATGGTGAATTTTCTGATGTTGATGAAATACACATCATCCTGGGACCCAAGAATGATATCAAGCTCAAGATCAACAACATTGATTTCTTGGAGAGCAACTCACGAGCTGAGATATGCTATGAGGAAGTGATTCCTCATGTTCCAGGACAATATGGTCGTCGTGACAATATCATGTGCATCACTATGCCGATCGAGCTCAAGGACCGACGTTTCATCATGGATTCTGGTAGTGGTCATGATCTTATCTCGTCTACTAGAGTGGATCGGATGGACATTGACACCTACCAGAGTGATCGAGTTAACTTCCACACTGCAAATGGCATCACATCAACAACCACGATGGTGGACTTAGATTTCGACACGTTCAATGATCCTGCAAGGGCTCATGTGTTGGAAGATACCCCATCTGTTTTGTCATTGGGAAAACGATGCATGGAGCAAGGCTACACCTTTGTATGGCCTAGCGGAAGAGAACCCTACATGATCAACTCCGAGGGCGGCAAGATCAAGATGGAAGTTCATGATCTCATCCCATATGTCTACCTTGGAGCCAAAGACTACAGGCCATCGTCAGACTACGAGGCCGAGTTAGTGATGAAAGTGTTGGGTATCAACGGCAACAACCATGCATCAAGGACGATCTATCTTGATGGTGAAAGCGGTGATGAAATGTCCGAATCAGATGATGGAGTTGGTACGTACGTCGACGGTCCAACAAAGTCTCTGAAGAAGACGAAAAAGAAGAAGCGTTCCAAACGAAAGACGACTCCGGTAGCAGCTGGTGAAGAACTCGATGATGATGATGACTATGAACAATCCATCTGCGAAGAAGATCCAGAAGATGACGAAGCTCATGTTGATGAAGTTCCTGGTGC